GGCAGAGCAAGTGACGGGACATTTTTATGGCCCTGTGACCATTGTTGGAGCTGAGGTACTGAACGGCATGTTAAGAAGCGAGCAGCAGAGCTCTGGCTATACAACCCCATGCTGATTAATCACCGAGACTAATCTCTGGGCATCCCTCGCTCTCCCTGTTGCTGCGGGCACCCCTCTGGTACCTTCCAGTATGATCTGGGGAGGGAGGGGAGGATGGCTGCACCTCACAGCCAGGGAGCCTGGTTTCCCAGGCAGTACATTGAGTGGTGAGATGCTAAGCCAGAGAAGGGGAAAAAAATCTCCAGCATGAGTAAAGCAAGAGCAGGCAGTGAAATAGTTCAAATATCCCCTCACCTTTCTTTTTTTGGTGTTTGTTTTCTGCTTTGTCTTGTGTGCAACAGGACTCTTTTGGAAGCAGATGGTTTCCTACCAAGGCTGTGCTGTCTGCTCCGCTCCAGAGGCAGGCTTGATCCCATCTGGGCCACCTCTTCCCCATGCCGGACTCTAGCTGCGTGCCTGAGCAGTTTCGCAGGGCAGTAGCTGCTCTTCGCTGCACTGCCCCAAATCCTGGCTGGGGTTTCCCCTGGGGGGGAGGCAGAGGAAGACTGAATCTGCAATTTTCTTTTATTTGTGTGCAAGTTGCTAGAAAATACCTGTATTTTGCTGACCTCTCCTCCCCCCTCATCCTCCCTGGAAAAACTTTCTGTGCTGCCTCGCAAAGTGATGTTGCCTCTGATGGGGGTCCTTAACTCCTGGTTGTCCTGCCTGCAAACCTGGATGCTACTGGCACAATCTCCAGTAAACAGCCATTAATGGTCTGCCAGCAGGGTGGGATATTGGAGTTTGCCCTGAACTTCCTTTCTTCCTGCCCCTGGTACTTCAGCTAAAGCAAGGAGATATTTTTTCCCACTCCTTCATCTGTCCAGTTTGTTTTTGAGGGAATGAGATGGGATTATCTCTTCTTTTTTGTCACTGTCTGAGATATGTACTTCTGTAATACGCTTGTTACAGGGGAGGAGACCTCAGCGCCGTGTGTGTAGAGACAGGGACTCAGGAGCTCTTCTCTCCCTGGTGTTAGTAAGACATTGAAATAGCAAAAACTATTGTTAAAGAATTTACTGGAACTTTTCTATTTTGTCACAGATTCCCTTGGGATCAAATATATGGAAAGTGTTGCGCTCTCAGTTTTATTGTGGGTCTTGTGTAATTGGTGAGCTTTTCTGAAAGATCTAGAGCCAGCATTAACATCACTGCTTGAAAATCACCAGTTACACAAATTTTTCTTCAGAAAAATTTTGGCTCTCTTGGTGTGAGAGAAAAAGCTTGAAAAATACACCTCTAATGGCTCCAGCACTGATTGCTTGCAAAAAAAACCTGCGCAGGCTTTAAAAAAAAAAAAAAAAAAAAAAAAAGAGTTATTTTCCCAATTTTAGGCAGTAGAGAGATTCATGAATTTTCAGTGCTTGGGTTAGTGCTGTGATTTGGGCCGACTGAGCAATCAGGTTGGTTACCAGCCTTGCCTCTGCAGCGATGCTCTGCTAGGCAGCAGAAATGACTAAGAGCACAAAGAGAAAGAATTGATTTTTTTAAAAAACAAAGTAACTCCCTCCTTAAAATAAAAAAAAAGAAAAAGCTCAGAAAAAAGTTACTCCATTAATACCAGCTTGAGTGGCAGAGCAGGAAATCGGCTGAAAATGAACAAAGAGCCACGCGGCAGGGATGCTAATGCAAGCAAATGCCAATTCACACTTCGGCAGGCGGCGCGTGGCAGCTTCCTTTCCTGTTCAAACATTTTAGCCAGATAATGAGTGAAAAACCCAAACATTTTTCGCATAATCAACTGAGTTTGGAAGGGAGAAGCAATAGAGGAAGGGGAGCTGCGGTGCTAATTATTTGCTGGCTGATACGACTGTCAGCGAAGCAGCGCGGGACTGTGTGGGCGGTGTGTTGCTAATTGGTGGCAGTGGCTGTAGCTCAGGTCACTGCTCTTGGCCACTTGACTGGAGGTGGAAGTCGTTGTTGATGCACGGGTAACCTGGTTGCGTGCTGAAATGGTAGCCAAGGCACGTTTGCCAACAGCTATTGGAGTAGGGAGGGTAACTGTTAGCAAACTGGGGTTTCATGTCAATATTGGTTGGGGATGCGATAGGGAGATGAAGTGCAGAAGGGCGCTGGTGGCTGGCTGGTCCAGGGCGGTGTGTTTATGTGAAGCAGATGGTTGACTGCTTTGTTTTGCCAGCAGATTATGGAGTTGGCTTCGAACCATCTTGCGTGGTTTCCCAGGAATGCAGGGATCCCGTCCGCAGCAGAACGTTGCTGCCTTGAGCACGTTACCTGGGGTCAGAGCTGGCAGCAATACTCACGCGGAAGGCGACTGCGTGCTGGGGTGGTCCTCACCATCCGCAGTGTCCTGTGTGACCAAAAGCACGCTGATGCTCCAGTGGCATTCAAAGGCTTCAGCCCTGGGTGTCCCAGGGTATTTTGCAAGTGCCTTTTGCAGATTTACCTCCGGTGCAGCAACCGCGTGCTGGTTATCCTGCGCTGCTGTTTTGGGATTCCTCTGCCGATGTGCTGCTGCATTTGGAAAAGAAATAAAGGGAGGTTGTAACTGCTGGGCTGAGTGGTGCAGGCAGGGAGTAATTGGATCGGCATTGTCCTTCCATGGGAAACGCCACTGTGCTTTATATTCCCAAACTATCCCTGGTTTTGGACTCTGCAGTTCTGCAAGACATGGGGAAGACAGAGAAGAGGGTAAGGCAGGATATTAGGGAGAAGACTTCCGGAGAGAGAAATTAAGATGAATATGGCCAACAGTGGCAGAGATTGAAGGCTCTGAACTTTATTGCTATCAAACAGCTACTGAAGAAGAGATGGTGTGTGGCTTTAAGTTTGTCTTTGGGGTTTTTTTGGTTGTTGTTTTGGGGTTTGTTTTTTTTTCCTTTTTTTTTTCTTTTTTTTCTTTTTTTTCTTTTTTTTCTTTTTTTTCTTTTTTTTCTTTTTTTTCTTTTTTTTTTTTTTTTTAATTGGATGCTGGAGCTAAACTGTCCCAAGTAAATTAAACTTCTTTCCAGAGTCGTTAAACCCAGGTTAACCTTGACCCTGGCTTCCCCATCACCCAAAGAACCATTGCTGTTAAAAATGCAAATTTCATTTTCAAGCTTTCTGCTCTTAGAATTGATGCCAGAGTGTACCAGCACCTATCTGAGATCAATGTCTTGCCTTGGTGCTAGTGGTAATTCTCTAGCCAAATGCTGCTGCTTTCACTGTCAGCATTGAGTAGCGCTGCAGGATCTCCACAGTCAGGACAGTGCTGTTTATCCTACCTGTTCTTCCCCTTATTTTTTGAAGGGCAGAGCTTCATCGCCCTGTTTCACAGAGGTCCTGGATGCTTGGGTGTCAAGGTTCAATGTGTTTTGGCAGCAGTGGCTTGGCGTAACTTGGTGGTGGTCTAGTGTCAAGTACTAGTTCTTGCTTCATTAGAAACCTTCAGTTTAGTGGTGATGGAACAGCATTCAAAGTGATGCAGGAGAAGAGTCCAGGGTCTGGATATCTACATTGTCCCTCTATGGGCTGCAAAATTTGGGCTGAAAAACTAAACAGTGTTTATTTTTCAGCCGAAACTTTTTATGCTTGAAAGTGCAGATTTGAGTCAGCCAAAACTTTTCACTGAGTTTTGTCACCTTGTGAAGTTGCTTCAGCTAGCACAACAAGAAATAAAACTAGATTAGAAAAAAAAGAAAAATTGCTTTTTGGGAAATTATTTTAGTTGGAACCTTGTGTCATTTTACTTTTTAAAAATGCTGAATCCCTTAAGCAAAATTCCCCTCCCGGTGGTTAAGTGTAACCCACGTGGTTCAATTTACACCAGAATTTTTCTCTTTGTGGGGAGAGTGTGCTGCCAGCAAACTGAATGTTGGTTTTGATTTCTCTGTGTACAGACAACTGTCTGGAATGGGGCTGAACAAAAGTTGTTGTTCGCCTTGTATGCAGCAAGACAAAAACTTCTCTGTGACTTAAATACAAGGTACTGAAGGACTGCGAACAGGAATAAATGGATAAGGTTTTCAGTAACCCATATTTAAGCTATCATGTACAACTTCTAAACCTCTATAGCTATTGAAAAAATTGGGAAGGGCAATCCAGGAACGTGGTCACTGAGAATGGAAGTTATTTGATACTAGGTGGTTACTGGAAATTATTGATTGAAAAAGCTCCAGCTTTTTAGGAAATGCCATAAAAATAGACATTTCAGATGGATGGCAACGAAATCTGTAGAAGCGTGCTCCCTTCTCTGCAAATAACCTTTGTGCTACATAGAAGTCTTCCAAGAGGAGAATACAAAGATATTCAAATACTTTAAATTTAAATTTCAACTTGTGCTGGATGGTGCATTTACAGTGCATAATACTATTTTTTTTCTCTGTCACTTAAGAGAAGGTGCTCTCTATATTGTACAGAGGCTGGAACAGCAGCAGGAAAATGTGACTTTGAAATAATGGGATCTATAAGAGTAGGCAATTTCATTCAAGTATAGTGATTTAGTGCCCTGTTAGTGTCCTGATCTATAACTCCATTTCCAAAGACTCTAAGTTTCTTCACAAGCATAATGACAGCCTTAAAACTTGTGAGACTAATACTGCAGCTTTCTCTGTCCTCAGCTGTTCCACATAATTACAGGAGTAAGGGAATTTTGTTCTCTCCTAACGAATTAGCTCCAAGAGGAATAAATCAGATAATGTTATTGCCTTCTTGTTTCTTTCCCTCCCTCTCTAAAAAGCAAGGTAGCCCACACAGCGCAGTGCAAAGCCAGGGCTGGTAATGTTTTTTCTTGCCTACAGTCTGTGATATGGACGTGATCCCAATTCCAGTGTCACCAGGACAAACTTTTTGTAGTGCTCTGGTTCTGTTGTTTGTTGCTTTTGGTACTAATTTCAGCTTCTGTGTTTGCTCTGCTCACAGACGATGGCCCTTACTCAAAGGGGAGCAAGGACTCCGGTGGGATGGACGCAGCCCTGGTCTCCAGGAGGCAAAGCATCCCAGGTAAAGGAGACGATCAGTTCCTGCTCCAGAATATCGGGGCATCCATTACACGTTACCTGGCTACCCCTAAAATGGGTAAAACCCTCCAAAACACCCATTTTGGTGCATCTATCAGCAAGGCTTTTGCTGGAGGGCAGAAATGGATGGCAGTAACTGGTCTCCGTGAGTGGTATGTTACTGACACAATCTCAGTCTGGTGTAGAGCTGTAGATGGCAGATACAGTGAGCTGGGAAAGGACTGGTTCCTGTGCTGGGCTGACACCCACAAAGAGGAAACAGCAGCAAAAAAGAGAGGGAAGAAGCGCCGCCACGTTCCAGCTCGCCGGGTGGAGAGGGAGACTGGCAGTGTCTGGCAAGCTTCGTATTTCCCGTGTGTGACTAAGTTTGTTTTGATATTTAGTCAGTCACAGCAGACTTCTGTGTGAGGTAAACCTTCCCGTGCAGAAACACCCCTGGGGGCTGAAGAGGGAGCAGAGAAATGGTAGTGCATTTGCTGCTGTTGGTGCTGGGCTTTGTCTGCCAGTGGCACGCCAGCAGGTTTGGATGGGCTGCTCTGGACAACTCAGCTCCTTCCTAATAACACACGGGGCTTCATTTTGACTTCTGACCATTAATGAGCCAGTCCCAGGTTTGGTTTGGTGTGCTGTAGGGGATGGGGAGGAAATGAAGCTCTTTGGCCACTGCTTCATCATTCAGCAATTTTTCTAGGGGATATCTTCTGCATCCACTGGGACTTCTGCAACACATTGCCACTGTACTGCGGCCCTGATGGAGAGAGGCTGAGTCCCCACTCACAAGAGCCAGGCTGTCCAATGACCCCAGCTCAAGGCATCTCAATGGGGAGGGCAAAATTCAAGTGTGCTCTTCCTGCCCTGGTTTGCTTTGAGCAGCAACATTCAAGGATATGTGCCAATAGAAGAAATCCCAGACTGTTCTCATATGGCACTTAAAGACCATGTCTTGAAGGACCCGATCTTGCTTAACCAGCTCACTTTTACATCTGCATGTGTCTGTGATAGTGGCAGTAGATTTATAGAGGCGGTGGTCAAAATGCCTTATTGCTTACCTTGATATATCGATCTCAGGGACTTGCCTTTGTTCGGAGAAGTGATTTCTCCTTGAACCCATAACAATGGGTAATTATACTCTGGGAGTTCTCATTTTAAACACTTATCAAGGATCAAAATTAAACCCCATTGAAGAGCTAATAATCTCCCCTTGCGGCACCATCTGTGTGGATCAGTCATGTCTGTAGTTGAGAGGAAATTTGCAGGATAGTGGCGGATGGTGTTCCTTCCAGCACAGCGGGGAGCCCCCCACAAAGTTTCTGGCAGCCCCTGGGATCCCGGGTTGGTGAATTGAAAACTAAGTTACTGTAGTTGGCAAGGGATCAAAACTGAGTTTAAAGAGCAGAAGCATTATGGACCTGACATTTTACAATGAGCTGCCAGTGCCACGTTAAATAGGTGCCCAGCAGTGCCTGAACACCTTCCAGACTGGCGCCAGATTGCAAAGAGGTTCCCCACTCGCATTAATCAAGTGCGTGGATTATTCTTGGAAGTGCTTTACAAAACAGGTACTGCATGGCAGGACTCGAAGTGAGGTGCAATTTCTGGTGTCGTGGTGGCATAGCACAGGGAGCAGAGTGCTGGTAATGAGGCACCATGGTGCCAAATGACACCGTGTTTTCTCTCAGTGAAAGAGGATGGAGGGGGGAAGCCCGGCATGGACCTTCTGTGTCAATAATGCAGTTTAAGAGACCCTGCTTTGCTCTGGAAATCATAGTGTGCAAGTTTTCAAATGTTCCCTCTCCAAGTAGAGCATCTCATTTAAGCCTGATGGGGTTTGCTGTGCAAACAACCTTCTGGGCCGTTTGCAGTGTGGGTTTTAGTCCACGGCTGTGGGTCTGCTGTTTGCCATGTGCTGACAATGCCCATCACCACCTTCCCCTGCACGGTCTTGGAGAAAGGCACACCGTGTGTGGGAGACTGTTTTCCTCCTGTAAAATTGTGGGAGATTTCAGTACACCAGAGATAGTGGAGGTGGATGGATCGTGTTGTAGACAAATTCTGTAAAAGCTTCTTAGAGGAGGCACTGGCAAGGCATGAAAGTCATCTGATTTGCCCCAGGGGTAGTCCTCCTTTGAGCAAAGAATGCGAGTGCCGTCATGTGGATTAATGTGGAGCTGCCTTTCGCCAAGTCCATAGAGCTCTTGGTCTTTCCTCAGGCTGGTGCTGGCTCTCCTGCTAACGTACTCCCCTCCTCCACATCAAATCCAGAAGTTGGAATAGTTTAGGGACCTTATTTTTGTCAAACCCAGACGTGAGCTGTAATGGGCTCAAAACTGGCATTGGGTTGGGTTTGTATACAGGTGCTGGACAAACAAGAGTGTCGTCTTGGACTAAGGGAAAGTAAAATGTATGCTGCCTGAGGCAAGCAGAGAAGCGGTGCTGGTGCAGCAGGCATGGGGTGAGCATCCCCTAAACCTGACCCTGCCATATGTATTGTGGCTGACAGTACACATGGAACCAGTTATGTTGTAAAAGTGACTCGCGTCTTCAGTTCCAGCTGTAGATGAGGTGGGTAAGATGGAGGAAATTTGACTTAGACGAGGTGCAGATAGGTGGGGAAACTGCTGTGCGTGCAGGTCATGCCTCCCCCTCCTTCCTCTGCTGATGGCAGGATCCCACCCCTCTCCACATTATGTTCTTTATCTCCCAACTGTATTGATGTCTCATGGTGTTTTTTTCATCACAATATTTCAAGATCCACCCTGTTCTGTCCATCCAGGCAGCTACTGCAGGTCCACAGCATCCTCCTACCTGGTAACTGTGACTGCCTGACACGTAGCCCTCCTAAGACCCTCCCCACTCTATATCAAACATAGTTCCTGAGGTAGTCTCCCTCAACCACTGCTGAGATCCCATCACCCTGATTCCAAGTCCTTCCACTGCCTCCAGCACCAGCGTCTTTAAACACAAGATTTTTATCCTCTTGCAAGCCCTCACACCTCTGCCTTGTCCTGCTTGGTCCTACCTGCCAGACCTGCATGCAAATGCTCTCCCTCCACAAGGACACACTTCTGTTTCCCAACTTAGTTTTAAATAGACTGAAGCTTTCTCTTCATGCTAATTGTACAAGTCATCCCAGGTCTGCTCTCCCACCACCTGTAGGAAAAGGGTGTCCTTAGGACTGGGAGGAATGTGCCTTCCACTGAGATGTTTGTCTTTATTCCTCATCTTTCAGAGGAGTTCAGAGGGGTGACCATCGTGGAGCTGATTAAGAAGGAAGGAAGCACCCTCGGGTTAACCATTTCAGGTGGCACGGACAAAGATGGAAAGCCAAGAGTCTCCAATCTGAGGCCGGGAGGACTGGCTGCAAGGTGAGAAATGGAAATGGGGTGCAGAGAGCACAGTAAAACTGGGGAGAAATAGTTGTATGTTCTCGCTGCTGAATGAATATGGTTATAATTAAAATAGTTGGCACCCAACTCCCTTTTTTGAAGTGCTCCAGAATGCAAAGTTGTTGCTTCAGTAAGTAGAATGTCTTCTATTTTGAGTTATTTCCCATGCTCTGGGCAATTATGCTCTGAAATTAAGTGTAGGGATATTTGGGATTCTGTGAAATTAGGCAGCCTTGTCAGGAGAGCTGCATGGTACAATACATCTTGATCAAGCTAAGTGGTTTAATATTGTATCTGTTCGGAATACTGAGTGTGTAAGTAACGTTATTGGCTCAGAAAAGGAATGGGAGAAGAAAGGCTCCAAGAAGCAGAGAAAGGGAAGGAGTAATTGAACAATTTTGCAGAAAACAGGCAAAAGGAAAGATGTTTTCTTTTTCCGTGCTGGATTTTTTTTTTCCAGACAGCTCCCGATATGCTTCTCTGACTGATTGCTCTACATAAATGGGAATTGAGCAACAAAGAGAGGTGGCGAACGTGTATATGACAATTGTTGCTGTATGTACAGATCTGACTTGCCACTGGGAAAGATAGATGGCTTCGATTTTAGCGCTTCCCTCTGATAGCAGGCACACGAAATCAGACAGCTAAGATCAGCCCAACGCTGGTGGCTTTTTCAGAAAGTTCCCTACTTATCAAAGCTTCATCAGACACATTGAGGCTGAGCGTAGCATATTTTTTTTGTTTGTTTTTATTTGCAGAAGTGACCAGCTGAACGTCGGGGATTACATCAAGTCGGTGAATGGCATTAACCTGACCAAGCTGCGGCACGACGAGATCATAAGCCTGCTGAAAAACGTGGGCGAAAGGGTAGTGCTGGAAGTAGAGTACGAGCTTCCACCAGCCGGTGGGTGCCTCTCCGAGAACGCTGCTCTCTTTTCTTAGCTGCTTTTTGTCCTGGGGTACAGATGGGCTTGCTCGTGCATTAGCCGTCGTGGCCAAGGCAGTATCCAGGGGCATTTTGACGTTCTGCCTTCATCTGCTCGCAGCGCCGCGGTGGATGCTGCAGAGCTGTGTGCAGTCGGAGCAGAGTGCTTTTTCCGGCACAGTGGGTGCCTGTTCATGCACACCGTGGGAGACGGCTGATTAGGTCTGTCTTGCCTCGGAGTGACTCGGTAGCAGAGGCCAATCTGCCTCCTGATGCTGCTTTGGCTTGTTTTTCTTTTTCTCTTTTGGAGCGTGGCTCTGGGAGGTTTTATTCAGTCTTAAGCATGTATTGCCAGATCCTCTTTTCTGAACTGTGGCAAGTGCTGTTATTCCTCAAGATGCTTTGAAATATTGTGTGTTTTCAGAAGGGAAGCTGAAGCGATCTGCTTTCCAGCTAAGGGGTCCCAGCAGAAGCTGGCAAGCCCAACTCACATGAACAGGGCTTGTGTCCTGACGTGGGAGACTGTACTCTTGCCCTCATTTGTTTGTTCTGATTAAAACAAATGCCTCGATACAGTTTCTCATCAAGGGCTTTCCATTGTGAAAACGATCTCTCCAGTTATTACTCATTCAGTTACCCAGATCAATCAAAGGATGATTGGGCAGAAAAAATAGAACAATTGAAAATGAGAGGAAAATCAAAACTAATGAAATCTAAACATTTTTCCCCAGATAGGAAGCTATCTTACACTTCACGGCTTTGCTATAGCTGCTGCCTTTACGTGAAAAATATTGAATCTATAAATGACTATATAAAGCCCTAAGAAGAAAGAAAATATAACCTGAATTAGCTGAATCTTTATCCATCGTCCCTCTCTGTTCTGCTGAAAACATTAGTTAGCTTTTGCGTACAAGCTTAGTAAAACAAACAAAACCCCTGTGGTTCAAGTTTTCCATGTTCTCATACTACTGGAGATGACAGCTCTTAACCTTTCTCCTTAGCTGTGAGCCCAGCTGTCAGGAATCTGATAAGCTGTACTCACCAGCGAAGGAGCAGTGCCAATACCGCATGTCCCCACCTCTGCATGGGCAGGGAGAGCACGCTGAAACGGGCACTTCTCTCCAGTGAGATTATCGATGCTGTTTATGACTAATCCAAACAAAGAGGCACTGCAAAATACGGGGAATTGTCAATTACTGCCTTGCTCCGGTTCATTGCGGGCTTTTATCTGCGGTGAGGGTTTGTTATTGCTGCGTGCACCCGCCTCGCTTTCCCTCTCTCTCTCTCTCATTCTCTCGCTTTCCCTTGGCAAAGAGGAGAAATAGAGTGCAATTCAATCGCTTATGCTTGTGGGTTTGAATTTTTCTCCCCACTTTGTAATTTCCTGCTTTGGAAGAGACCTTGCAAGCCCAAGTCTGGTTTTCAGGCCACTGTGTCATATCATCTCTTTCATAAATAAACCAAGCCCTGTGTTAACACTAGCTTAGGTTTCCCAGCTCCCCGCTGATGTTACGGAAGGCTGTTGCAGAACTTCATGCTTGGATGCTTAGGACAGAAATTGGATGGTTTCTGAACCCATTCGTGGATGCTTTATACCCTTTTCTTGGTATGTGAGTATCACTCCTTAGCTGGGAGAGCTCAGCTGTGCCCTGAGCTTTTCCCCTCTGTAGTACTTGTAGGCTGTGTCCCTGTCAGCAGTCTGTGCACAGCAGCAGGAGCAAAGCGGCTGTACGGGGGAAAGTGTTTTGGGGGTTTATCTGGCCTCGCTTGTAGCCTGGTCCCCAGGTGTTACCATGCCTCCGCTGTACATCTTTTGGGTTAGTTTAACCCTAATTTGGGTGCAGGTTGCAAGCCCTCGGGGCGCTTGGCAGTGAGGACCAATGTGGTCAGTGAGGACGGCGGGGAGATTTGCTTCAAAACACCCCGTTCTGAGCCGAGGGGAAACACTAGTGTGGACGTGCCTTGGAGAGCCTCCAGCTCCGATTTGCCAGGTTGAAGTCAAGGTCTTAGTCTTTTTTCTGATTATCTTTGTGGCCATTCATTGCACTTGGTTTGAAGATTAGGAATTGATCTTTTTCGAGTGGACAAGGCTGAAATGCCATGTGCGGTTCTGGATGGAGAAGAGTGGGAGATTGTCCCACATTCACCGCAGTAGTTCAATAAATCATTAAATAGCAGGGGATGGCAAGGGACAGAAACAGATTTTTTCTTTTTCTCTTTACTTTTGTACATCAAATAGTACTGTGTATTTAACATAAAATTACTGAATTGCCCCTAGGATCAGTTTAAAGGATTCACTTAATCTTTTTTTAAAATCAAAATATGAGAGGTAAGGGAAAAAAGCCCCAACCTTTTGCACTGAGGATTTGGGATTTTCATTTTCTTTAAGGTCAGCTGGTGACTCGATTCCTTACGCTGCTGCTGGTTTTTTTTTAATAAGTTTCCATCTGCGACAGAAGCTTCTGGCTTTTGAGTAATACTGAACGCATTAAAGCCAATTGAGAAACGAGATGGTTTTACTTGAATGTCAGAGTATTAACCAAGTCAAATTTGAGGGGAGATGCACAACACTGAGCCGGTGAAATCATCCTAAAACATGATGGTTGATTCTGACGAAGGTTCACACATCCGGGTCAGGCTCTTTTTACCTCCAAACAGGGAAGGTACAATATGGGTATTGGGCTGGACTTTGATTTCAATGCCTTTCGGATGGGTTTTGGTATTATTTTGTAGGGTGGTGTGGAAAAGGCTTGCCTGGGGGCAACTGGATTTTTCTCTCTTCCTTTAGTCCCAGAGAGCAGCGCTGGCATTATTCCCAAGACCATTGAGGTGTCCCTCTACAAGGAAGGCAACAGCTTTGGCTTCGTGCTGAGAGGTTAGTGGCTTTTCTGGTTAAAAACAAAGAGGGAACAAGCACTGGCAGAGGTGATTTGGGAAGCACGAAGAGAAAAGTAGGAAGATGAATGTCATAAACCTCAGCTGAGAGCAAAAGCGTGTCCTGGAGAGCATCCCATGCAGCCTTCAAGGACTGCCGGCTGCCTAATCCAGGGCAGTCTTTCTGCTTTCAGGCTGTGTCAGCTGTTATGTGATAAATGTCTCTCCTTTCTCAGCACTTTCATTCAGACTTTCAAACCTCCAGTGACTTACTGCTTTCCCGGTTTGATTACAGGGGGAGCCCATGAAGACTGGCACAAGTCCAGACCGCTGGTGCTCACCTACGTGAGGCCGGGTGGCCCAGCAGACAGGTAATGCTCGTGTTGCACCTCCGGCATTTGCTTTCACAAGACAGACCAGCAGCTCTCGCCATGCTCTTGGATGTGTGTCCTTCATGTCCTCCTAGCTGGTGCCTCCCCAAGGCTTCTCATTCTGGTGGTCTGGGACCTGTGGTGTGTGGGGAGAATGGGTCCGGTGCTCGTAGGCTGACCCATGCGTAGATGTTATAGTCGTAAGCGGAAACTCCTCTTCCAGAGGCAGCCACTTAACTGAACCTGTGCAGATGAAGAGCTGATGCTGTGTTAGAAAGCAGGAGGCAGTCTATCTATTCTCATGCTGCTAATTGAATATGATGGGCCTGGCACTATAAATAGCCCAAACTGTGGTCCCAAGGAGTGTTCAATTCCTACAGGATCAAAATAATTGACTTTTTGATATATATAAAAACCCCTATACATATAAAAATATATACACAAAAATATATAATTGTATTAACTATATATACACAAAATATACAGCTACATTATAAATATGTATAAATATATAGAGAAAATACAGGTAAATATAAATAAATACATATATACACAAACACAAAATTTTTTAGTAACTTTTGCTTGTGGCTTTCTACAGGGAAGGGTCTTTGAAAATTGGGGACAGGCTGCTGAGCGTCGATGGGATCCCTCTGCACAGCATGACCCATGCCGATGCCCTCAACATCCTGCGGCAGTGCAGCCAGGAGGCACTCTTCCAGATCGAGTATGATGTGACCATCATGGGTAAGGCAAAGCTGGTTGCAGTGGTATTTTCTCTGACTCCCTGGAAAGTATGTGAGACCGGAGACAGCAACTGGGATACTCGGTTTCAGTGGAAATATTGCTGAGCAATGCGCTGCCAACGTGGGTGTAGGGTGTAGAGCTCAAAGCCGGCTTAGTTAAATGCATTTGAAATGCCCTTAGCCGATGATGTGTCTCAATGGGAATGATGACTGATTTTAGAGGAGGGGAAAAAAAGGGAGTTTCTAATGTAGGTAAAGAGGGCATAGGAGAAGTAAGTTGGAGTGGAAGGGCGCTGGAATGCCAGCGCTCCACCAGCACTGCAAATAACCCTACTAAGCGTGTGCAGGGGAGTGAGCTGCAAGCAGGCAGAGACTTGATGTGGCTGCAGCTTCCGTTCTGAATTTTGACCCTGCTTAATTCTAGAGCTATTCCCTTTCTTAGAAATGTTAGTTCAGGTCTGCTGCTGAAATAAATGCGGGGTGATCAACTGATTGACCCCAGAGAAGACAGAATTTACTGGAGGGCAGAGGATGGGTATTTCTAAAAAAATGTTATACACAGTAGACATTAAGTTTGAGGGTTTGGAGGATTGGTGTTATTTTTTTTTTTCATTTGATTTTCAGTTTTAAGCTCTGGGAAAGGGTTTATTATTAGCTACTGTAAAGTAATTTTGAGCTGGCTTTGTGACACACAGCTGTTACTGCAGGGAACATTGTTAATGAGTTTAAGGTTACCACAGAGTCTGAAGCTGTGTTGGCTCTGGAAGCTCGTTGAGCTGTGCATTAGATTTTGATGTTGCGTATACTTGTCCAGAGGGGTTTCTGCCTCCACTGGAGCCACAAGCTGGCCTGGGTTGGAGTCTTTTCCACAAATCTTGCAAACCAGTCCAACCCATCTGAGCCTAGGATCCAGTGGGGATAGGAGTCTGTGATATCAGGTTGTTTTCTGATTTGTCAGTGAGGAGGGAAATAAAAAGGATATGCAGCTGAGGAGTTTAACACCACACTGCCCCAAAGGAAAGAAAGCTGAGAACGCCAGAACGTTCTCCATGCAGCGTGCGAGAGGGTTGCACCAAGATAAAGGAGCTCCTCGTGCCAGCCCTGAGGGCTTTCTGCTTCCTTTTGAGTCTCCTTCCCCCAAGCTTTCCCCTCCCTTTCAGCAGAAACTCCACAAGTGTGGACATTCTTGGTCTCCCCTGGGGCAGAGAGCTGCCAGGACCTGGGCAACCGTGTGCCATGCAGACACGTGCTCCGCTGGGAGAGCTGGAAGGAAAACCTGATGCCTCGGCTGTTGCCTGCAACCTGCTTGGCTTCTGCCGTGCTACAGGAGCAGCGTCTCTTTAGAAATTGGCTGGTATTTATGAAAAAGAGGAAACGCTTAAATAATGGAAAACAGAAACTACCTGAACCCTATTTTCTACCTTTCTATATGATTGTGATTGTGGTAATTCTGTAGTGGTCAGTGAGGGATGTCCATTCCTCTCCTCGCAGGGTGGCTGAGGTGGCAGCCTTGCCCGGGAGGGGCAGGCGGAGTTAAGGAGAGATTCTGCGCAGAGCTGTCAAGTCTGAGCAGTAGCAAACAGTTAATGGTGCGCGTGAAATGGGCTTTTTGGGGGTTTTGTTGTTTGTAGGGTCCCCTGGTGCCTATGTTGCAGGAAGTTGATTGTTTTAAAACCTGACTCGGAGCAAAAATAGCCATGGAGGTGTCTGGGTATTTCTTCTTGAGTAACTCTCCCACCTATAACTGTTAGGGTTGAGTGAGCACAGGGCAATGGCAGGGTTTTACGCAGTGATTCTCCATCTTGTGTTGCTATACAGTGGACTACAGCCAGATACTTGCCAAGATGTAAACCCAGACCTTTCTTAGGTAATTTCTGCATAGAAAGTGCTTCTCCCCAGCCTGTAAAGGGATGTACCAGCTCTGCTTTCTTCTAAGGCAAGATGATGTAGAATGTTCAGCTTAAAACAATCTCTGCAGACAGTTTTGCCAGGCAACAGCTAATAACTGCAACAGGAGATGAGTGCGTCATCCCCAAATCGCAACTATTACAGACATTCTCTTTCCCAGCCACAGGAGGATGATGAGGAAAGGGAAGAGCAGGTGCTGGAAGCCGTGATGGGACATTATTAGCCTGAAGGGAGCACTCCTAATTCCCATTTTGAAAACTTGGTGAAGAAGCTGGAGGGACATGTGGACACACAGTACACTTGATTCTTTACAAGAGCTGGGGACGTCACCGTGAAGTGGTGCTTGGCCTGTTCGTCCACAGGAAAAATAGAGTTTTTTGCATCACGCTCGCTCTCTGCTGCAGCCGTACGTGCTGGGGTGGTGTGGGATGACCCTTGAGGAGGGAAAGTTGTTTTTCGGCATCTGTCTTTGGTGAGAGACCAAGGCTTCTGTGGGGGAGTGTTGAATCACGGCGTTCCCCAGCTGGCTGCGTGGTTTCCCAGCCAAAATTGCGCATTGAGGATGAGCTGCATGGGGCCAGCCCTGCTCTCGGTGCGAGGGACGTGGCAGCTGCTTGCCACCACCTCCGAGCATCCCCCGGCTGTCGGGCTTTCACCAGGGAGGCCAGTGTAGGTTGGGGCCACAGCAGGCTTTTAATCAAATTGGCTGAGATTTCTCAAGGCCACCAAAGGAATTAAATTAATCTTGCCGTTTCCATTTAAAAGGAGTGTGAACTGTGCGTGCACCTCCCTTGGGTACTGGGAAAATCTCTGCCCTTTGCCAGATAAACATTGCAATAAACAGATGCTTTCCTGCTGTGATGCTCTATCTTATGGACCTTTAAAAAAAGGTGGGGAAACAAGTAAAAAACCAACAAATAAACTGATCAGCCAGAAACCAGTGGCATTTGAATAGTTCCTCTGTTAATAAGCTGTGTGTGCCATGACTTGAGGCACTGGGCTGCGAGCCTTTAGGGCTGACTCACGGAGGGGGGAAGCTCTCTGCCAGAGATGACGAATGAGCAAAGCGATTTGCTGTGCCTTCTCCTCCTCTCCCTTCCTCTGGCTGTCCCTCTGCCCATTCACTTTTAGGCTGGAGATTTTTAGGCCTGCAGGCCTCTCCTGCTGATGGAGTGGAGGGCTGGCGGTGTCCCACAAACGGGTGACTCCTTGGTGTCTGCTGAGCAGTGGCAGGAGGTCGGGCCTGAAGAGGGGCCCATGAAGTCAAAAGCTTCCATGTTCCTGTGAAGCCAGAAGAATCATGAGCTGCTGGACTGTCAGGAAGGGGGTTCTTCTCCCTGGTGGGGTTCTTCTAGGAGGTTTTGGTTTATTTTGTTTGCATCTTCAATCCCCTCTCCCCTCTCCCCCAAAGTGCATTACAGCAGGGAAAAAATCATCCCTACCGGCACACCTCACTTATTCCCTGGGCAAGTGCTCATTACACTTTCCAGCCTGGATAGAAGAGCCATCCCTCCTTAGGGAGCTGAGCAAAACCAGGTGAACCTCAAGGAAACCTAGCACAAGAAAGGAAAAAAAAAACCTCACAGTATTTCCTCCAAAATAAGCTGCTGACAGAAAGATCTTTTAGAAAACTCCTGCCAACCCCCAACTTTGAGCGGTGGGGTAACCATCTCTCCTGTACCTTCAGCACCGAGGTGTCTGACTGCGCGGAGCAGACTCTGTTTCCCTTGTATCCATCGCAATATTGGTGAGTAGCTATGAAGTGTACGGATGTGAGCAGGTTTTGCACAGCCCTTTGTGTTCTCCTGGGGTCAGCCAGGTGGACAGAGTGATGGGATTTGCTGTACTTGAGCAAGTTTTGGTAGGCTTTCCTCTTTCTATTTTGGTGGAGAAGGCTAGAGGGTTGATTAGACCTTTAGTGAGTTACCTGGTGGCTGCTGAATTTCCACCTGAACATTTTGAAATGGCTGGAATTTGGGTTTGGAAGGAAAAATGCAGACAGGATTTAGGGGCAGATTTTAACCAATTCAGGCCAGAGCTGCTGATGCTGAATTTTGACAGGGTCCTATCCAGTTCATTTATCTTACTCATTTAGTCAATGCCACCTAAAAAGAGCAGGTGTCTCCAAAAAGGTGGAGGGCTTAAGGGTTTATTTGGTTACTAAAGGTATTGTTTGTGAAGACGGATGAAGATGGCTTGTGTGTTTTCCCCCCAGCAATGTCTGGAGATGTAACATTATTCACCCAGCAAAGGGGAATGGGTCTGAGTATCCACTAAACAAGCACATATTTTTGGACAAGTTGTGTGACAGTGGTGCCTCAGTTTCCCAATCTGTAAAATGGCATCATCCTTTTCTAGGAAGCACAATTCATTGCTCGCAAAACACTTTCATACCCTCACATGAAAAATCTGCACAGCCATGCATGGCAGCATATGCATACACGTGGGGTTTTTTCTGTTTCTGGTAACAAAACCGAAGGGAAACGATGCAAGCTGCTGTATCCATATTAAACTTGGTGTCACTGGCCTCAGTGATGCTTGTTGTGCACCGATGTGATTTTTGGCCCTCAGTACATGCTGAGTAGCATTTGAGTTGAATATTTCGTGAAAATTGAGCCTCCAGAACAGCTGTGTAGACTCTCTTGGCTTGCAAGAAAGGATCTTGCTTTAAGTAAGGTGAGATTTGCTGTGAAATGCAGGAGACCCACAGATGTCTTTTCTACAGATGGTGGGTGAGGTTGCAGCCGTGCGTGATATTGCAGAAACACCTCGTGGTGCCAAAGCAGCAGTGCCAATTGACTCCCTACAGTAAGGTTATTGCATGGCCTGCCCTGGCCTCTCTGTGTTTCTTTTTAAATTAGCTTGGGTGCAATAACCCCATGTTAATCACGCCTCACAAATATTGCTAAATAGCAAACCCTTGACCTTTGATTTGAACCAAATCTTTCCCTAGAATAATTAATGGAGGCTTGGCTGGTATTGCCTCGACAAATGCATCTATAAAATGGATTTGGAGCGATTCTTAACTATGCCCCTGGAGATGGGCAGAGTGGCCCGGGCGGTGGGAGGCTGGACTGGAGGCTGGAAGCAGGACTATGATTTCCTGTAGTCTTATTGATGCCTAGGTCCTGGCATGGCAGTAGGTACTCAAAGCTCTTTCTTCTCGCCATCGTGCTGAGACCTCCCTGGGAAACACTTGGCAAAGCTGAGAAGCTTGGACGTTGGGTAAAACCGAGAGGAGTAGGTATTTTCCTTGCAAAGAAACTTCTACCACTCCAGCAAGCTTTTTGATCTTTTATTTCCTATCTCCTTCTCTTCAGCTGGAGGAATATAAATCTGTGTTCCTCTTCAGAGGATATGTGTTGGACACACACGGGCTGCAAATGCAACGTATAGCTTGTCTTTGCTGTTGGAAGAGATCCTCAGTCTCTTGTTGCCTTCTTTGCTAACAAAGGCTTAAGTGCACCTTCTGCAGGCTTTAGCTGGGTGCTTTGTGTATCTTTTGATTGAACGGGGCTGTGCTTTTTGCCAGGGCCTGCAGGTCTCCCCAGTGGTCCTTTTCAACAGAGAATAAACACTGTTTTATTTGAAGCCTGCATAACCTTTAACATGGCTCATTCCTCCTCCATCCTCCCCTGGGCAAAAGGGTGCTGAGAGTAGACCAGAGCCTGAATGTCCCCTGGCTGATCCCCAGGGGAGATTTCCAAGGGAAATTTCTTTCTCCAGAGACTCAGCATTTTCAACAAATCTCAGGACTAAGACCTCGCTGCAGCTTAGCTTCCAAGATCTGCATCAATGCTCCCGTTTATCAGAGAGCAAGAATGAGCCATGCATCAAGTTTTGGAGCCAAGTAGCATCAGCATTTTTAGTGGAGCATAGCTTTGGGATAGAAAAACCTTACTATGAATAATTAAGGGCTGAGGAGGCATTAAGCTCTCAAGGGCTATGCTGGCCTTTCCTTCAAAGTGGATGACTGAGTTTCTGTGAACTGCTCTTGTTGGGGGGGTTGTGTGGTGGTGATAACACGTTTGTGAATCCAGCCTTTTTACGATGGGTTTAGGTGATCTGGAAGCAAATGTGTATAATAGAGGTGGAGGGAATTTCTGTCTAATCAGCCAGAGACACAGGCTTTCTTTTTCCTCCCCCTTCCTCAGAAGATATGAATAGGTATGGTGCAGGCTTATGCTAACAAGTGCAATTTCGTAGGAGTTTTCATAGTCTCGCTTACAGCTTCTATTAAGCTTATTGCAGAAATGCATCTTTTACGCATGAGTTGCCCCTGTATTGTCTGATGGGAGAGAGGAGGCTTTTGTAAGGATGTGGGTAGGTAGTTCTGCGTCTCTGCTCCCACTGTTGCACTGGAAGAGCAGAAACAAGCAGATGAGGTGGTATTTTGAAGCTGGTGCTGAAGCACACAGGAGTTGACTGGCTTGTGTGCTGGTCATCAGTTTTTTAAGTTACCGTGTGACACAGACTATAGGATGCCCAAACTCCAGGTTTGCTGATACACACGGCAAGTCAGCATTATTGGCTGACCCTCTGCATTTAGAAATGGGAAAGGCTGTATGAGAAGTGTCTTCAGGTGCTGTCTTGTTTTGCAGATACCGTAGCAAATGCTTCAGGTCCTTTACTAGTTGAAATAGCAAAGACTCCGGGGTCTACGCTAGGAATCACACTGACGACAACCACGCACCGGAACAAGCAGGTCATTGTCATCGACAAGATCAAGCCAGCCAGTGTGGTGGACAGGTACAGATCTGAACATGCTGCTCCAAGCTCTGCTTTTCCTTTCTCCAGTGCTTTTTTGTGGCCTTGTTAGTTATATACCATTCTTCCTTGTCTTGCCTTGAAATGGCTATGTCCACATGTTCTTAGCACTAAGTGTGCTAAAAATATCTGACCCAACACCAGTGGACACTCCTCGCCGGGAATGAATGTAACTCAGTGCATGTGAAAGCTGAGCTCTGTTTTAGAGACCTCAGATCTGACTGCCCTGGAGCTGTGGAATGACAAACACCTATTCTGGAGACTTCTGGCTACAGCCTTTTACTGATGGGCAAGTCAGCTAGTCACCCTTTACATGGGGATGCAGAGACAGACCGTGATGCAGCCCCAGCTGTGGGTAGTTGAGTCGCTGAGCTGAATTGCTGGCTTGTAGGACTTAACTACACCGCTGGGTGAGCTATGAGTGGGTACTATTAAAAACTTAGAAGATTTTTCCCAAGCCACTAGCAGCACTGACTCAAGCATGAACCATCTTAGTTGGTATTTTGGGCAACGCTTAAACTTAAGGTTCAAACTGGAAGTAAAAAGAAAAAAAAAAAAAAGATATGAAAAGAAATTCACATGAATTCACAGAATAATTCACAGGTGGATTTTGTATGTTTCTGCTCCTGACTGTAAGGAAATGGGTTTTGGCCATGTGTGTAATTACCTCTCTTGCTGTTTCCTTTGCAGATGTGGCGCGTTGCATGTTGGTGACCATATTCTCTCCATTGATGGCACGAGCACAGAGCACTGCTCGTTATTAGAGGCAACTCAGCTTTTAGCTGCCACTTCAGAAAATGTCAAGCTGGAGATACTACCTGTTCACCAAAGCAGGCTGCCTTTGAAGCCTCCAGAAACAGGTGTGTCCTCTGTGCAAACGCTGTTGGTTGCCCTCAAAACTCACTTGAGGTCCCTACTGGGATCCTTGCTGCTTTTGAACGCTGGCAACAGACTCCAAAGAGAGACATCTGTGGAGGAAAAAAAAAAGATGTTTTGATGAAATGCATGTGATTAGATGACGTTCTTCAAGGATGTGAATAGGAAAAAAAAGGGTAACATCTGTGCTTGAATGGGGAAATTGGTGTTGGGAATCCCAGGGTTTTGCAGTGCTGAGTGCTGTGCAAGCCGCTTCCTTAGTACCTCAGATAAGAGACTTTAATGGAGGAAAACAGCCTTGGTGCTGGCAAATACATTTCCAAGCTCAGCTTTCATTTGCTGATGCCTGGTAAGGGTTTGCAAAGGACATGTCAGTAGCTAGGCAGAATCTTGCTGGACTTCCTTAGGAAACAAAGTTGTAACACAAGCGTTCATCTTCTGGACCAGACTCTGAATGTCCGCTGTGTCCGAACAGCCAGGGGTGGAGTGAATGCATCTGTAGCTGCTGCTTTCCACCACGCCCCACCAAAGAAATACTGGGGGGAAAAAAATCTGTCCCAGGCACAACTCTTCGTTCTGTTCTCTTCTAGGACAGTTTGGGGAAAGAAGGAAAACATCCATGTTGTCGTCTTTAACATGATGCGGTGAAACATAAGATCTAATAACATCTCCATGTCTAGAAATAAATCTCTTACATGTCCAGTCCAATTTGTGCAGAATTAAAGCAGTTTAACGAAGGGGATGGATGACTTGACCTTTGTGCCCAAGAAAAAAATGGAAAGCTATAATGCTTTTTCAATGGCTGGTAAAATAAACTATTCTCCTCCTTCCATTAGTGCCCTCGTCCTAATCTCCTTTCAGAATATATGTATAGCAGCAGGTCAGGAGAAGGGGGATCTGTGGAAGGACAGCTCGGTGTGCGAGAGCCTTTTTACCCAAATTTCCATACATCAGATCAGTGTGCTGCGGCAGAAATTCAGCGCACAAACTTAGGAGAACAATTGCAACATATTAATAGGAAAAATAAGGGGTATAACAATTGTTACCACTTTTGATTAAACTCTTTAACACGTGAAGGATCATAGGGAAGGAAGGATGCTGCTCATCCACGTGGCTGTTAGGAGGCAGAGGGGTGTAGTTGGAGACCCGTGCTTACACCTTCACCAGTGCTGATGGGGTGGGAAAGGGAGGTGGTGGGGACAGAGGGGAGAGTGCTTTGGCCAAGAGGAGCAGCTCACGAAGCAGTGCTCCTCGGTGGCGTAACCAGCACAGCACTGTGCAGCCCATGGTGAGCAGCCAAGAAACCGCACCAAAGTTGACAAACTGCATTTGGACCTGGGAGAGACACTGCTTTCTGCTCCAGATGCTGGGCGCCAAGTCCACAGGCTGCATTTTCTGAGTTTAGGGAAACAAAGGGGGGCAGTAAGGAAAAATTGGCCATGCAAAAGCAAACTGTTGTGGTTTGCAAGAGACTGACGTCTGGGGAAAGCAGCCAAGGAGAGGAGACCCTGCAGACACATCCTTCTTCAGCAGTTGCATTACTGAGTCCTTCCAGTGTGTGCCTGCGTGGGGCTTGGCATTATATTTTTTAATCGTGGCTTCTTGTGCAATCAAAATCCAACTATTGAGGAGGTGGAGAGGGATCTGAACCTGCAGCTGCCATGCAAAAATACAGCCTAATGCTGAAGCACGGGATTTGTCGAACTGAGTTTGCTTTCTCTGTGGAAATGGGGGCATCTGAGAGTTTGTGGGAGGACTACGCCCCGCTCACAAGATCAAGGGGAGTGGATGGTGCCCAGGAGCGGTGCTGGGATGGATGGGTTTCCTCAGGCAGGGATGATGTATGAAAGCATGGGGAAAGCTGTTGTAGGTTTTTGTCATGGAATTCTCCAAAATCACTTCTCTTTCCCAGTGCTCTGACAGCTGAGTTTCAAAGGCACTTTTTCCTGTTGTGTGAGATATGAGCTAAGAATTTATAGACAAATGGGAGAGTTTTAATTACTATAAATGGATTAAGTGATTTTGTATTTATGCCCATTAGCTCTGTCCCTCATGTTCAAAGTATTTATTAAGAACTTTCCTTTTTGTCTAGATATAGCTACATTTATTCATTTGATTTTTATTTTTAAAAGCTGCCTGGCTCTGAATTTACTTTTGAATCCACAAAATAGAAACCCCAGAGCTGGAAGTGGATTTTTTTTAAGAGCTTGATAGAATAAAGTGCTAAACTGACTAAATGTTTAGCAAAGACTAAATATAATCATTATATTGGTTGGAAAACCTGACCAAAATGATTTGATGCCTGTGATGCATGCACACAAAATAGATTTCCACTGTTAAAGGCACTAACAGGTGACCTTTAGATGAGATCTCTGGGTGTACTCACTACATAAACTGAGCCCCTGTGCCAGGTTTGCACCCTCAGAAAGCTCTGGTAGTACCGGGGCTGGTGGCATAACAGAGAGCCTGGAAGAGATCTCATCCTGGAAAGGTGGTTGCCAGTCACTGCAAATGGTTGTGAGGTTGAGCTCTGGGATAACTCATGGCTCCAGTGATGCTCTGCAGTGGGATGCCTTTCATGCTTCTCTGAATAAGACTTTGAGACACTTGCAGTCTTGCTCATTAGCCAGCAATTCCTTTTGGAAGAAAATAGATCCCGAAAGCATGGTGCAGAGACTGGGGAGGGAAAACCCAGCGCTGCTGGGCAAGGAAAACCAAACCGACCCTGTGCTGCCTGGGGGCAAAAGGAGTGTCAGTGAGAACCGACAAGGGACCTGTGCCTGGAGGGGTGTTTGAGGCACTCCAGAGGAGACCTGTGGCATTGTGACCTGATGTCACAAAGCCACAGTTCCTGAGACAAGGGATTTCCAGATAATGGATGTCATGCTGCAACAGATTCCTGCCAGCGTGTGCTGGGGTGGGGTTAGGGTTGAAGCTAAAGCAGTTGTGTGGCCTTGAATAGAGTCTGCCCTGTTAGTGCCATGTTTTAATTTGCTGTTTGCCACAGCGTTGGCATCTCTTCCTGTGTTGGTGGCCCTCTGTAATTGCCTTTAAGCAGTGCTGTATAAAATCCCTTTTGTTCTGATGAGCTGGAGGTGGCCCTCCGCTACTCCTCTCTTTCATCTGTGTGTGCACACTGCGATGGATTCCCGGCTGAGAGCAGCCACTAAACAACCAAACACTGAAGCCAAGCAAAGTGCTCAAAGCAGTCCTTGGCACGTGCAGAAGGTGTTGAGCCTTGTCCCTGGGAGGGCAGCTCCGGCAGCAAGGTGGGAAACGGCACAAGGAGGTTTCCCCGGTGCTGTCGGATAATGTTGATGGCCTCTGCGGGGAAACTCGTGGCTGGAGGGAGATTCTGCACATCGCACAACAGACTGCAAATGGTAATGACATCTGTGCGCTGCCAGCATGGCTTAGTCAGGCCGTTGGCTGAGGATGTGGAGTTTTTCATGAGGAAGGGGCAGATTTCTGCCACTTTGCATCAAGTGTCATGAGGTTATGTGGGGATGCGTTTTTGCTGCTGGTGCTTGACACACTATGGCTCGGTCCTGACTTGTTCAGAACCAGCATGGGGCTCTCTTCTGCAATCTCCTGGCTTATATTTCTTACCTTTTCTTTTTCTCGCTTCTCCTCCCTGCCTATGGTGATTTCTGCTCCCCTGGGTGCCATCAGTCAAGGTGCAGAAGAGTGACCACCACCACTGCTGGGACCCCTGTGTCAACTACTGTCACACCCACCACCCCGGGCACTGCAAGACGCCCACTTGGAACCAGACGTCTGGACAGGATTACTGCAAATGTAACCTCAGTGCATGACATTGCCCCTATCCCTGCATGTGTTTGTTTATGTTGTGCCCCTCCATTTCCTTAATACCCAACTCTGTAGCCTGGCTTGTCACTCCTTTCCTCCTCCATCACCTGTGTCTGTTTCCACAGGTCCAGTGCTGAGGTACAAAATGGGTATCTGCAGCCCAGCACACAGATCTGGTAACTGCAACAAGAGCAGTGTGCTGGGCAGACCCGTGCTCCCATCTAACCCCACACCCCAGTGCCTGCGTTCATACGGCAAAAATGAGTTGCTGTGGGGCAAGGAGGGCATCTCTGGTGATGTGTAGGAACCTGATACAACAATGCATCCAGCTCAGCCCTGGTGCCACAGAGCGTGTTAGCAGCAGGATTATGGCTGCTTCAAAATCTCTAAACCCGCCTCTTAGAGGAAGCAGACTATTCAGCCCCAGGTTTCTTGTCTTGTGGCACTAAGATAGGGAGGAGGAAACACCATACTGTGTCCGAGCTGTGGGAGGCAAACAGGGCAGCTCCATTGCCCAGCAGCTTAAGTTCAAGCTATGGGTTTCCCTTTGTATGTACTTAAGTTTCATTAGTGCCACCATGCTAACCTGCTCTTGGCTGCCCTGCATCCGCGATGCACTTCTCAGCTGGTGGCCTGGATGCTGCAGCGACAGGCAGCCCAGTCACTGGAGTCACTGCACACCAGAGAGCAATGTCCACCTTGAGCCCAAGCCCACTCGCACAGCTCTGCTGGAGCTGCAAGCCCAGGACAAGGTTCTCGCCTCAATCTTGAGCCCTGGAGCTGGGAAGGAGAGAGTCCAAACACAGTGATAGGACGAGGGGTAATGGGCATAAACTTGAACATAGGAAGTTCCATCTTAACATGAGAAGGAACTTCTTTACTTTGAGGGTAGTGGAGCACTGGCACAGGCTGCCCAGAGAGGTGGTGGAGTCTCCCACTCTGGAGACATTCAAAACCCGCCTGGACGCTGTCCTGTGTAACGTGCTGTAGGTGACCCTGCTCTGGCAGGGGGGTTGGACTAGAGGATCTCCAGAGGTCCCTTCCAACCCTAACAATTCTGTGAATTCTGTGAATTCTGTGAATTGGGTGTTTGGTGAACACTCATTAGATGAACCTGCTGCCACGCTTCTCTGTGCACATCCTTAACACGCTCTGTATTTCCCCAGCTCTGGTGGCTGCCAACTTCTCATCTCCCACCATGAACGCGCAGGGCTTCCCCTGCCAGAACTCGAACACGCTACCTCGCAGCTCCCACCCCATGAGCCCCCGCACCACCATGCTGAGGAGGAGGCAGAAGAAAAAGGAGCACAAGAGCTCATGTAAGAGTGGCAGTGGGCTGGGGCTGGGTTGGACGGCCGTGCAAGTTTGCCTTGCTGTCCTTATCGTTGACTGTTAGCTGGGGTGGGACTGCTCATCTCAGCACTGTCGGTGCCTCCTTTATCCTCGGTCGCTGTCCCCACCAGTGCCAGACTGAGGTCTGTGAGCATACCGGCTGTCTTGACCATGGCTACCCTGACCTTCTGCCTCTCTCCCTCTCAGTGTCGCTGGCCTCCAGCACAGTGGGTCCTGGCGGGCAGATAGTCCACACGGAGACGACAGAGGTGGTGCTCAGGGGAGACCCTTTGAATGGCTTCGGACTTCAGCTCCAGGGAGGCATCTTTGCTACCGAAACCCTGTCTTCCCCACCTCTCGTCCGTTTTATTGAGCCCGACAGCCCGGCAGAGAGGTTAGAGACCTTGCCCTTGGATGCTGATGGTGCTGCTGCTGAACATTTCATGGTTTGGTTTGTTTTCTCTCCTCAGAGGCTCATTTAGATATTTACTATCATCCTTGTAATATCTCCCATTCTTCACTGGGCATGGTTTACTGTCACTGCCATTTCTGCGCTCGTCGGCTGACCGCGGCCTCCCTCGCATCCCAGGTGAACGTCTTGGCACCAGGCTGCGGCTGTTCTGGGAGGAGGAGGAAGGGAGCGTGTGTCTGTGTGAGAGAGCCATTCCCATTCCTTTTTTTTTTTTTTCTTTTTTTTCCCCTCCTTTCTTTTTGAAAGGTAAAGCTTTTGTCTGGGTGCAGAAAGGGGAAAGACCTAAACAAGTGGGCTCAGCGAAGTGTTTTCTGGCGGGTTTCATTGTAACAGAGCCCAGTTATATTGGCCATAAAGCCAAGGTTTTGAACTGCAGAGGAGGGCTATGGTTGAGGAGCAGATAGGTGCTGCATTTAAGCACTCTTGGTTTTGGCTCTATAATGCTGGGAGAAGAGCAGAATGGAGGAGTGGCATTAACTGCTGCACGTCACCCCCTGGGAATAGCGGGAGCAATGACTGCTCTGGCAGCTGAGCCTCAGCTCGGGAGCTCTGGCTAAACTTTTCCCAACACCCTTGTTGGCTGGATCTAAATTCTGCTCAAGTGTCTGTGCGCTACAATGTAGATGTCCTCTAGCAAGGTTTTTCTCACTAAACGGACCAGGTCCCAGCACGACTTGAGCTCTTGTGGTGCGGAAAGGAGAGCTGGTTTCATTACGCAGATGAAATAGTGAGGGGTGAGCGAGCTGGCACTTATACCCCTGTGCTGGTTTCTCTTCCCGCCTGTGATTTTCACTGGTGGTCCATCCTGCCTAGGGCTGCCTGAGGTGAAACGATGTGGCAGCGCTCAGTGCCTGCAGCAGACCCTTCCTTGGGAGGACATGTCTCCAAGGGCCTCGTCAGCCTGCGCTGATGGTTTGGTGTCCCCAGGCCAGCCTGGGAAAACAGCACACAGGGCAGTCGTACGTCAGGGAAAGCACCTGCAAAAGGAAATGCCAGTCCGTGCTCTGCAGAGCGGTCTCTGCGTGGCAGCTTCTGCAGGCGGCCGATGCAGAAGAAGGGAGGAGGACGAGTGCCTGGTGCTTGTGTCTGTGGGAGGACAGGGATGAGGGGCTGGCACGGGAGAAAGAGTTGTCCTGAGTGGTACAGGTTAAGAGAGATTTCAAAAGCCTTTTATGCTTTTTGGTTTTTTTGTTTGCAAACAGGGTTTAAAAAGGAAAGTGATGGTGTTTGGAGGTTTTTTATGCTCTATTACCAGAGTGAATTTGGCTCACATTGCAAAGCACCAAACTCCTTTTATAAATCAGGCAGCAACAAAGCCTGCTGTCCCAGGGGAGGAGGGAGATGTGCTGAAATCCGCCTGGCTTTGTTTTATCCTCTTGCCAAGCCCGGAGCAAAAGCAAAGACTCACGGTGCAGTCTCGCTTGGCTCTAATGTGTCACACACGCTGCTCTCCCTCTTGGCTGCCCACCCAGCAGGACTCACGCTCTCCTGGCTGCCGCCTTCTGCTTTCTGGCAACAGGGAGCAATCCTCTCTGCATTTGCAGCCTGGATTTGATTTGGGGATTAAATCTCTGCGGTGTATTTCTTCCTTTCCTAGATGATGCTGTTCTCCCTAGCTGGCAGGAAAACACTGTCCTTCCCATCTTGAAGTGATAAGTGCACTGGGTTTGCAGCAAGGTGAAAAAGGCAGGTTTATGTTTTCATTTCGCTTTTTGTTTCTTGCTATCCCACAGAGCTTGTTTGCTCCATCCTTTCTAGATACCTTATTCCCTGTCCTTGAGAGGTTCTGCTGTAACTGCAGCCCAAGACATTAGAGCTGTTTTTCTCCCCTTTAAAAAGCAGGGCTCTTGGCTGAGCTACGCTCTTTCTTGTGCTGCAATTGTTGCCCTCTGCAAAAGAGGGTGAGTGGTGGGGATGCAGGGGTCGGGCTCAGAAGCCTGGGTCTGTCCTGCACATTCGCACGCTCCTGTGCAAGACCTGTGAATCTGAATGTGCTGTTGCACAAGGGCATGGTCCACAGTCGCTTGGTCCGTCTGGCTTGCTGTGGAGGAGCTGCTTCTGGGGTGTCTAGCAAATTTAAGTGGTACCAGGGAGGAGGATGGCATCATCTTCTTTTCAGGGAGGTTGGACCGCCTCACGTTCATTATCTGCTTCGTACTAGCTTGTGGCAGGCAGGTTGAAGCAAAAGCCGTCACCTCCCTGATGTACGATTTGTTTTACAGCAAATAGCTTCTAATAGACCTCCCTCCCCACCTGTTGTTTTGTTTCCTGGGTGCAAGATGAAGCCTTTGGGCTCCAAATGAGACAGTGATTCAGCCTCTCTTATCAGCAGGGAGGGTGGAATAGGAAGATGCCTGACATCCCCTCTTGGCTGCCTGGAAACACGCAGCTTTTGTGTCCTTCCTCCCCCAGCTGTCATTGCCAGCAGTGGGCTAATAGACCTCCCTCCCCACCTGTTGTTTTGTTTCCTGGGTGCAAGATGAAGCCTTTGGGCTCCAAATGAGACAGTGATTCAGCCTCTCTTATCAGCAGGGAGGGTGGAATAGGAAGATGCCTGACATCCCCTCTTGGCTGCCTGGAAACACGCAGCTTTTGTGTCCTTCCTCCCCCAGCTGTCATTGCCAGCAGTGGGAGAGTGTCTGGCTTCTCCATCCTGGTATCCATGAGTTACATATTTTCTAATTCTGCTCTGACACAGTTGTTTGATCGTTGTGTTTCTGGCTTTTGAGTATAAATGGTTTGCAAAAGGGAAGTTTAGCAGCTGGGTGAAGCTGTCAGCAAAACTTTGATCTTTTGGGGCTGGGACCCACGCACCAACGTGCACACGCAGATGTACAGACACACACAGATGTGGATGTCTGACCTGTGTAGGCCAGCTCTGGGGCATGTAGGGGCATGTAAGGGCATGACACATCGGTTTCCGTAGCCAGCGATATGGCCATGGTCACAGCTGCTGCTGCTCACACCACAGCTGGAGTTACCATGCAGATGTTGATGATGCTGAGTAAGATCTTTAGCGTGTATCCTGTCCAAGACTTGAATAGGCACTGCTCTGTGTCTAGCAAGACACCTCCACTGCTCTGTTGCTGCCTCTGAGCCAAGGAATGAGTCATGACAAAATGCAAATCTCTGCAATGCCAGGAGGACATTCTCAACATGGATTCCAACACATCCACAGGGCTGTCTTTCACTCCAGGAGATGCCTGTACTCTTGTTATTTCTGATTTTAAAGCACTTCTCCCCTGATGATCTCAAAGCACTTTGTGAGCTCTGGTGTTAGACTGCACATCTCTGAGGCAAATGCCCTCTCTTTGGGAAAGCTGTCCGAAAGGTTTGTGTAGGATCCCACAGCAGACCCAAGGAGAGGTCTGCAGGACCCTTGGCGCCCTGGGCAATGCTTCCAGCGCAAGGGCACATGATGGCTGGAAGCTGGTGTCTCTGGAATTATTCTGAAGGGTTAACAAGGCATGTCGGGTCTCCTTGCACTTGTGGAGGAAGCCAGAAGGTTGCTTCACTCCACAAACATTTATAAACCTGCAAGACTGGGGCTTAAACAACTGTGATTGACCAACGCTAATAGTAAAAGAAAGAAAATAATTCCGACCTAACAGAGCTATTGGCTGTAAAACACCCAGGCAAATCTACCTTGACTGAAGAAACACAAGAAATGGTTGTTTTGTGAGAAGGCAGCTCGGGTGGGAAAGGTGGCAAATGTTTGCTTTGATGCTCTATAAAAGTATCCTGTGATCTCCCAGCCCTTGCAGCTGAAATAGTGGTGCCAAAATGGTTTGTGTCCTTGTGTGACCTTGACATGACAGTGATGTCTATGTGATGCAGACGTTGATCCCTCTTTTCTGAAAGGTGCATTGTGGCCGTAGCAAGAGAGCTTTTGGTGCCAGAGGAGGCATCTCCTTGCCATCTTCATATTTATAAGCTGGTATTTCCAAGCACACCTATGTAGCTGCGTAGTCCAGTAAAGGACTGTAATTAAACTTGATGTAGTTTATTTGCAAGGGTGGATTCATTTATACACCATGGAGTTGTCTGTCCTAATCCAAGTCTCCTTGAACAAACAGCTCTGAATTTACATCTCATAAAATAGCCAGCATTTTTCCATGGATGGTATGAACTCAGGCAGCAGCGTAAATATACTGCAAGTTTAATTCCTTCCTACCAGTAAAATAACCTCCCTAGGCTCTCTCCAAACTTGCTCGTATCTCAGCTTTTGATGGGCCATGGCAAAAAATGTTGTGCTTGTGCATTCCTCTTGAATTTGGAGGTGTGTATTTTTTCTTGATAACCTGGCCGTTCGTAAACATCCTGTTGTTTGGAGGTGAATAATACAGTCAGTGTGTGTTGCCTTTGATGTTATCTTCGTGTGCCTGGAAGCTGTGGTACCCTGTTTTCGTACAATTGAATTGGGTATGAGTGATGAAGAGCGGCTGGAAGGATTAGTGAAAAACAAGCTGTCTTCCGTGAAATATCAGTGGAAACTGATGTCTAGAAAGCAGGGGGCAAAGGATGTCCTTGGTCGTTAAAGAGCAGGGGAATAAATGTTCTCTGGAGAAGGCTCAAAACAGGATAGCTGATGCCTTCTGGGAAATCTTTGTTGTAAAATAGCTCCAAATGTAGAGGTGAACCTTAGACTTGTTCCCATAATCCCCAACCTATTTTGCAGGCCACTCTGTAGCTTATGTTAATGATGGAGGAGGAATGGTTTCCCAAGCTCTGCTAAAGTGGACTGCCTTATAGACATCGTGATAATCTGAAAAGACGCGGTTGTAGCAAACAACTGATGAAGGGTGTGGAGGAGAAGGAAGATGAGCAACTTCCCGGGGCCAGTCACAGGGAAAACTACACTCTTTATTTTGTAGAGCTCAGTAAGGTGGAGGATTGTCTTGCTGGTGTGACAGTATATTTAAATAAACAAAAAAAAAAAAAAAGAAAGAAAGAAAGAAGGGAGAGTGGATATTGAATGTAGTGGTTCATGTGTGAAAAAAACCCTTGCTTATAAATACAGAGGGGTCCCAAGAGACAGACCATGCTGTAGCAGTGTATCTCCAACGTAGCCTTATCATCATTGTTTTTCTTTCAAAGTAAAAAAACCTGCTGATCTGTGCTCTTGGACAAAGTGGGTCTAAACCAAAAACCCCAAAGTGCCAGTTGTGGTTATATTGGTGCGATATTGCATCAGAATAATATTGGCCTTTCAAGGCAGTTAAACAGTATCAATGTACATTTGGCTTCCAGAAATGCAATTACAAGGGATAAATGATTATCCAATTTGCTGAGACATTTCAGTGAGTTCACTGGATTGTAGCTTCAATATTAGCCATGTGTTAAGCAGAGGACTCCATGCAATTTTCAGTGCTGTTAGTTTTGGTTTCAGAGAGTGCAGGTACATGGAAAGAGCCGTATACCATTAGATAGGGTAGGCGAGCACATGCCCTTGCATTTGTCACTCATCTCTTGGACATGGCATTGATTTTTAGGAAGGTGAGGGTTACTTTTTTTTTCCTTCCTGGAAGTTGCAGGAAATATGACCAAAAATGATTATTTAGGAGCAAACTATGTCTGAACTTAAGCAAACCACAAGGGTTTGCTGCCCTGTGACCTTCCAGGGGCTCTTGACCCTGGGATGGGTGTTGCAGAATGAGTTATCTTCTCTTTGGGGCCACTTCTGCAGGATTTGTCACTACTCTATGTGTCTTATAACAGATTTGCATGGCAAAAGTAACTCATGGCTGGTTGTGGGGTTGTTTTTTTTTCTCCTTTCCTCTTTTTTCCTGCCTCCTTGTTCCCTTCCCCTCTTTTCCCAACTGCAGGTGTGGGCTACTACAAGTAGGAGACAGAGTCCTTTCTATCAACGGCATTGCGACTGAGGATGGGACTATGGAGGAAGCTAATCAGCTTTTGCGTGATGCCGCGCTGACGAACAAAGTGGTGCTCGAGGTTGAATTTGATGTAGCAGGTATGTTTCCAAAGGAACTGCTGCTCCTCACTACCAGCGGGACTCTGCCAGTGCCTTTGCTGACCCGCAGGAGGGAGTGTATTCACACAACTACGTGAGGTTTTTGCTAGAGCTCAGAGGGAAGAGTCCCATTTCTCGTTGTTCTCTAATGCGCACCGAGATAGAGGGTCCTTCTTCTGTCCTTTCATAAATGCCTTGTGCTCACCACTTGCCTGAGATAAGCCTAAAGAGTAGATGAAGAGGCCACCTGCACTTTAAATATTTGCCCGTTAATATGAATAATATTAATTTATGGCCGTGAAGCAAGGAGGGAGCCAAAGCTATTGGCTGGGGCTAAAGTGCAGGTTTGTATTAAAAAAGAAAAAAGTTTTTTTCCTTTTACATTGACAGGGCTGCCTCAATCTTGAAATACAGCATGATGTGAGCACTTCACTTGAAGTTCAGAGCATGTATTTTTAATGAGAATCCAAATTTTAACCTCAAGTCCACAGGGCTTCACATAACAACCTTATTTGAACCAATAAAGCTGAATTTTATGTGCTTGTTTTTCCTGGTTCCAAAGAAACCATCCATGCAACTGAAAACTCTCTTTTTTTTTTTCTCCTATTTTCTTTTTTGTCTGTTTTTGGTTTTATAGAGTCTGTCATACCCAGCAGCGGTACTTTTCATGTTAAATTGCCCAAGAAAAGAGGTGTAGAGCTTGGAATTACAATCAGCTGTAAGTATTGCTCACACTTGTGCTAGCAGTTGCAAAAGCCGCTGCTTCCCACCCTGGCACATCAGAGGGGCCCAATGGAGAGAGATAAGATTACATGGGGTTTCCTTGTAGCGCTCGCAGTGCTTGTGATTTATCCCAAACTGAATTAGACGTGTGGTTCCTGCCTCCACGAGCTGGCAGCTGCAGAAAAAAGCAGCTACATGGAGGGTTGGGGCAAAGGATGCATCTCAGCTGATCAGTTGGTCTGTGCTGCAGACTAATATTATATTATTAGTAATATTATTTTTATTCCCTTGCTCACAGTTGTATTATGTTCCTTTTAAAAAAGAATCGCCTGGGTGTGGTGGGACTCTTGCAGGGAGAGGTGGAGGGAGGAGAGTGCGAGGTGAACCCACAGTTTGAATGGTAGAGAGGAGAAACTGCCAAGATGAGGAGGAGAAGGAGGATGAAGAGGATGGCAGGTCTTAGAGGTGGGGGAAGGCACTGTAGGGACAGGAGAGTGCTGGGCAGGGTTTGCCGGGAGTTGTTGTATTGACTAACAGCGGACATGGAGGAGGAGATTCATATGCCAGGACTTGGTGGACACTGAGAGAATGAGACATAAACCTTTTTATTTCTTTTCTCTCTTCTCTGCTTACTCTTGATTACTTATCTTTGTTTCTCTTCTGAAGTGTATTTTTCACTTAAAGACCTTCTGGCCTCTTTGGAGCGGATGCTGTAAGGGGATGATATAGGCAGATCCAGCCCCAATTTCTGGCCAGCTAGAGGTCTTGTTATGCCTCGCATCAGTGAACTTTTCCTTTATAGCAAATGTGGGCAGGTCTCACATCACTCATCCCTCTTTCGCTGCTGGGTAAACTGACTTGAATCGTCTCAGATTTGCCATGCTCAGGGGATGCCACCACCTCTCAGCTGAAACAAAGCAACTTGTGAAACTGCAGTAATGGGATCTTGCATCTAAGCCCTGGGGAGCGTAGACCCAGCGGTGTCTGGGGAATGGAGTCACTAGGGACACTTTAAAAGGAGGTTTCATTAAAATAGATAAGCTATTTGCAATTACCTCTTGGCATTTACAGCATTAGTCAGTGAGTTAATTGGAGGTGTTCTGGTCTAAGTAGGGTGATGCTCAGGAGTGACTCGAACATTGACGGGGTGATGGCTTTGCACCCTCTGTTATTTCTTCTCCCTCTTCCCCGCTTTCCCTATTTGTGCCACAAGGATAATCCTGAGACATAACAGCACAGTATTTAACATTTGGCTCGGTAGCAATTACTGTCTGAAGACATCAAAGTGCCTTCCGAAAGCAGCGGGGTGGCCATAATGACATTTCAGTGGCAGGGGAGCCGGGCACGGTGCAGAGCCCAGCCTGTGCCAGGCTCCCAGCCTGCTGCCCTCGCCGCTGCCTTGGCGGTGCAGTCTCGGGTAGCGACCTAGGGCGATGGAGCTGGTAGCAAAACACTTCTGGCTTGAGCGTGGACAGGGTTGCACACCATTTAAGCTTCAAAGCTCAGTTTGTGTCTGGGGCTGGGGAGCAAAACAAACCTGGGAGTTGACGGCAAGAATATTCGATTTTGTTTGTGGAGTCTCACTTGAATGGGATCTGCTTCAGATGTGCATTTACACTTCAAACGTATTTTTATGTTGAAAATGTTTTCGTTTGAAATTTGTTTAAAAAAATTGATTTCACGCTTTTTTTTTAAATCAACGCTAAATAAAAAGAAACTGACCCATGGGTTTTAAATAGTTAGATACCCATTATCCAACTACAAAGGAGTTTTTTAACAATATAATAGACTTAATCCTTTTGATTGTTGAATGTGTTTGCAGGACACTGTTTAAGTAGTGCATACGCATAAACTTAAGGTATATTTCAGTCCTTTGCTGAGTCAAAGCCAAAATTATATTTACAAATGGCGCAAAAGACAGCCAGCCAGAAAATGCAGTGGCAAGGATGAAATGCTAGTTGAATTCTAATTCTGTTTTCATATATTAGTCTGTATAAGCCTATGTCCACATGACCCTTAGCAAATTAGATCATCATTTTGTCACTCTGCCTCTGACTGGGCAGATAAATACACCAGTTTCAAACATTAAAACCAAAGCCAGCAGCCTTATGGTAAATACCTCCTGCAGAGACATGATGTGCATGCAGGAGCGTGATGCAAGCAGCAAGAGAAAAGAGGTAAAAATAACTCTCTTTTGCTCAGTTCCTCCCAGTTCTGCTGATTTGAATGCTTGTATAGATCTAGAAACAGCTTTTATAGCTTTTCCTCTGACAAGGAAAAGCATAAAACTGCTGTTTTAAAGTAGGGGACTTGGTTTACTGGCCTCCCACATTGGATTCCTCTTCCCTGCTCTGTAAAGCTGGGACAGGTTAAATAGATGACAAGCCAGAGGGGTCAGTAGAAGACCCCCCACACTGTCGTGGTCACAGAATTGGGTTTCTTCTAAAACTTTGTGGTCCAGCTACACTGCAGATGAAAGATGAGTTGCTTTCGTTGAGTTTCGCCTCTCGGCTTCAGCAGGCTCATCTGTAGTTAATTCCTCTGTCTAGGAGGGTTTGCTACTGCCTTCTTACGCGGGCAGAAAGTGTTACGACCTCATCAGAAGAGCACTACAGAAATAAAAGCGATCAAGTTCTTGCTGTGCTGTGGCTCTCAGAGCTAATCGGGAGATGGGTTAAGTAAAGGGAGGGGAGAGCAGGATTCTTGATGGATGCGTTGGAAGAATTTGTGTAATGGAGCTGGCTGCGGGAGGAACCATAAATCTGCTGGAAAGCCTCATAAAAGGGGCTGAACACCCAGAAGGTTTTTGTATGAGACGGGCAGGCATTGCTGGGTCTGGGATAGACATACAGAGAGGGTCTATGCTTGCTCCTGGTGAGGGGCAGGTGTTTGCTGAGGGCATTTCATCTTCTCTGAGGTCTCAGGGTTTGCTGGAAGGAGAAAGCTTGGGCTGAGCGAGCCCCGGTTGTGGTCTGGGCACCTGGCTGGGTGCACCCAGATGGGTTTCTTCCTCCTGCTCAAACCCAAAGAGGGTGGCAAAGGGACACAGCAAATTGAGACACATGATGCAAATATTTGCATATAGCATTATTTCCTCTTCCATTCCCCACAGGATGAATAGGAAATCCAAGGGGTGAGTCTTTCACTGGCTCTGCTTTGTATTTCTGTGGCACCTCGGTGCCCTTGCCTCATCTCAGTCTCCTACAGTTGCTAAATGAAAATTAGCAAAGCGAAAACACTGAGGCTGCCTCGTGTGCGCTGCTTCCATGCACTTCGTCCAGGGGTGAAGGGCCAAGAAGCCAGCGAAATCACTCTCGTTTTCTCCATACTCCAGTGCCTCGGTTTCTGTGCCGGGGAGAAGGCTGCCTTTGTTTGTAAAGCAGCTGCTCTGCTTGAAGAGCGAAGTGCGCGCTCCTTTCTGCTCCGCCAGGTTCAAAGAGCTGTGTGGGTTGTGAAGCTCAACTGTTTGCAGAGACCTCTGAGGTGCTCTGAGCGGTCGGGATGCAAAGACCTGCAAACTCAGATTTTTGGCACAGGGATGTGAAGGTGTGGCTCTTGTTAGCCTGAACTTCTCATCCCCATTAGCAGGACACATGCCTTAAGTGCTCTGATCTTGCTGGCTGCATTCAGTTCTAATGATGCAGTTATGCCTTTGTGGGTTTTCTGTAAATCTCTTACAAATCAAAATCTCCAGCAGTGAGAAGCTAATAGTCATGTATTCTTGTGTGTTCAATACCTGACCTCTTAAAATAAGATATGGATTTGTTATTAGCCTCTGGAAAATGATAGTTGATTACACAAAAGATTGCTTTTGTGTTTTCTTTATTTTTTTTTCTTTTTTTTTTTTTTGGTCTGTCTCAAATATCCCCTCCAAGGGCTAGTTATGAAATTCACTGCAGGGTACAGGTGTGTTGTTGCTCTTTAAACAGATACTGAAATTACTGTTCATTTTAGCTATGCATTAATGCTTTATATAGCACGTTTATCAAATTACCTTTATATATCTTAACAAATCAGTTCCCATGCCCTTGGCTTGAAGTACTGCAGATAAGGAGCAGGTAGTATATCTGCTTGAGGGTGATAAAACCGGAATTTGGATAGATAGATAACTTCGATTAAGTCGCTTAAGCAGTGTAATCACTGTCCTAGTGAGAAGATGGATCTGTGAGCTGAGCAAATAGCAAATCTAGCTTTGCCGGCGCTGGATTAACCTGAGACCTGCCGCCAGCCCGGCAGAGTGTGTCTGCACGCGGCAGTGTGCCCGGCAGCCGCCTGTCCTACCCCCGCTAACGCTGCAGCTTCAACTGAGATTTGCAGCTGATTCGCTCCGGTGCTTTTACCGAAGTGGGATATTCTGTCCCGGTTTTGCTACCTGGAGATTTTGAAAGGAAATAGATCAGTGGCGGGGTAAATATCCTGCTGGAGGCGCTGATAATTTATGCACCTGCTGCTAAAACTAATGAATTATAACGGAAAAAGTTGAGTACTGGGGATTTGATTTTCACTGCTGCTTTTTGTAATCGATCCTGATTTGCTTTCATTCCTGTTCTCATTCCTTAGCTATCATGACGCTATTGGGTTTCTTATTTTGTTTGTTTTTTCCCATTTATAAATGCTTGCTTTCTTAAATGTATTCTGATGGCATTATTACAATTTCTTTAATTACGCATTGGCAGAGTGCTGCTTTGGTTTGGTCAATAACAAAGGGCATTTATAATGGGTTGATGTGTGTGAGATATGTGCTCGTGCTCCTTGGAGGGGAATAATTTACCAATACGAGTCATTATGCATTCTATTAAAAACACAAACCGGACATGTGTTTCTGGCCTCGTCATCCATCATAGCGTAAACGCCAAGCGAGCCAGAATCCCAGCAGAGGTGGTGAGAGACTGAAAGCAATTTATAAAAAGTAAATAACAGTATTGATCAATTCACCTTTTTATCACTGCCCTGTCACCACCGCCAAGCAGTGTTTTCATTTTGAGTTTCTCCCCCACCCCACACTTCTACCTTCACCAGCTGTTGATTTACGGAGCTTTCTCTGGGCCACTGGAGCCGAAAATATGAATGTATCTGAAAAAGAGCCTACTTCCACCTGAAGTGGTTTGCCCTGGCAGATGGGGGCCACAACCAGAGCGCCTGCCGAGAGCGAGCGTGGGTTTCTGCACAGCAGCGTCTGCCTCTCCATCCATCTCTCCCTTCCACTCCCTTTGCTGCCGTCTCCCTTTTACAGACGGGAAAGCAAGACCCAGAGGCAAGGCTGGACATCCGAACCGTGGCTTCCTGCAGCAAGCAGAATTACCAAGGCAATGTCCTTTGAAGAGAAATAACCTCATTGGTAGCAGAAGCGAACGGATGAAAAGGCTTTACTCATCTGTGCAAGTGTCTTAACTCCAAAGACCACAGCCCTAATAAAATAATAATGTAGTTTAAGGGTTTTTTTTCATTGCAGGCAAATTGGAAACCGTTTATCCAAAATCTCACCAGGGATCTACATATCTAATGCCTCTGACCTTGACTGAGTCACCACGTCAGTGACGTTGCAGCCCTCCTGCCTGTAGGCAGGGCAGCCGTTACACAGAGACGTGTTGTCACCCTGTGTGAGCGGCCCAGGACTGTTAAAAACGCGGGTCCCGGGGTGGGCGGGGGCAGCCTGGTCCCAGCTGATGGGCAGAAAGTGCAACTGGGCGCTCTGCTGGTGCACTGGGAAGGGCTTTGGGGTGCCAAAGGTGGATTAATGGAGTTAGTAACTGCTGTTTTTTAAAACAAACAGCAAGTGACTGTTCCGTGCTTTAAGATTTTGTTATCTTAACTTTGCATTTATGCCTCTTGAGAGAGAACAATTATTCATGAAGTCTCTCTAACTTACCTGTCTGATTTGTAGGTGCTGACTAATAATGATGGTTTTATAAAGCCTTTCCATTTTGCACTAAGTGATTATTTAAAGCAGAGGGCTGCCATTTATTAAAGTTTGGGTACTCTGATGGTAGGGACAGATGTATGCAGTTGTACATGGCTCTTCCATTTAACTGGTCTCAAGAAAATCTGTTTGGAAAGCACAACTTCCAAAAAAAGCACAAGCAAAACCCAGAATGATTTTTTCCTTAAAACTTGCTCTGTTTCCTAATGGACACAGCACTCAGTTTGTCACCCTTGCTTCTGATATCGGAAGCTTGTGCTACGTTCAATGCTGGCACCTACTGCGGAGCTGCAGAAGGACGAGGTCTCGCTCTGCTCAGAGACTGACCATGGACAGGATCCCCCCACGTGTCAAAGGGCTTGTAAGGCAGATGCTGAGATAAACACCATCTCTGCAGAGTTGTTGCTGGCATGTCGTTGTCTATATTTGCTTTTCCCTTTTTTCTTTTTCCCCCTTTTTTTTTTTTTTTTTCCTTTTCTTTTCCCCCCTCTTTGCTCTTTTGAGTGTTCACAGTCTCTGGACACATCATTCCAGCTGTGGCTGTGTCAGGTTTAGAGATGGCCATCCCCAACCCACCACCAGGACTGTGGAGATCTTCCCTAACCCCTTTCTGTCACGCTGCCTCTGCTTTGAAGCTAATAAACAAACCTTGCAGTGAAAAGTATTTTTGCTAACCTGGATCGTTTTGACAGAACCGGGCTAGGGAGCAATTAAACATGCAGCGATGCCAGCCTGACCCAGGGCTCAGGGTGTGCTAACAGGGTCTCCTGTCGCTGCCGCTCAGACCACCTTGTTGTGCACCTCTCAGCAGCAAACACATGTCCTATATTGAAGAAGAGAACAGCAGTAGTAATAATGGCGATACTTCTCCATCCATTGTGCTGTTAGTCCATGGTGTGCGGCCTTCTTAATCAGAGGGGGGATTTCTGCATTGATTTTTAGCTGCACAAGCTGAACCTCATCCTTCCCTCCCACCACTCAACTCTGCCTGGGATGTGTTGGTCTTTGTGCTGGCTGGTTTATGACACAGGCTGGTTGAACAGAGGCATGAGCCCTTGGTGAATCTCCACAACCCGTCTGCTTCTCTTCGACCTGTGTCCACAAAAGCTGAATGTGAGTGTCCAGACCAAAATTGCCTGGCACCACGCTGCTGTTAGAGATGGGGAAAATAATTCTTCCAGGCTCTGTATCATTCAGCAGTTGCATTGCCGTGACTATTATAAAATCAGTCACAGTCTGCTCTTTGCTGCCTGACATAACTTTCATACTCAGCACTGTTACGACTGAGGTTGGCTGTCTTTTCTCCCTGTTCAATACAGAAGGTTTAGTTATATCTGGGAGAGGGTATCTTTAAAGGTGACGGGTTAGCACATACCTTTTTAAATCTCACAAATGAATGTAAACAACAAAAAATCTAGAGCAGAGAGGTTGGTAAGACAAAGCAGTTATTCCTTTATGTCTGACTTTCTGGGATGCTCTCTGCTGTTCAGGCAGGTGGATCTCTGTGTGGGTGATGCCACGTGCCTCACAGATATTTTAATCTCTGACCTGCACCTGATATGTTCAGATGCTGCAAGTTCCTTCCTTCCTACGCAGTTTTTGCTGAGAAGCTCCGTCAGCTTTAAATGAGAGGATGCAATTCCCATAGCAAGGCAGGAGGGAGTGACACGGGGTGAAAAGGATGCTCTTGGTATGTGTTTGGTGTGTGGATGGCAGAGGGGTCAGGAGGGGTTCGAGTCATAAATCTCACTTGGATTTCTCAAGAGAGCAGAAGGTCTTGCAGGCAAATTTGAAAATGCAAATGCTCCCAGAGATGCGTGGTCGCATCTCTCGTGGGCTGAAAAAGTTATCAGGGTCAGGCGGGAGAGAATAGTTGGAAACCACCCCTTCCAGACCAGCCCCGATTTATCCGGTTGGATGATGAAGTGACCTGGGGAGCTGAACTAGCTAGAAAACAGTGTTTTATCTAATTCTTCCTGGGTTATTTTCCACCTGGAAAATTTCCCAGCCCACCTTACTTCGAGAACACAGAAATGCTTATATTAACCACAGCACTGAGCTAGGTACTCCCTAGGCAGCAGTGCTGATGTCTGACTACTGCTGCAGCCATTGACTCACTTGGTGTCTCACGTCAGAGATGTGGGTGAGCGGGTGTCCAGCAGTGCTGGGATCGGGCAGTCCCACCTCTTGCTGCTGGACGCCACCGGTCCTCCCCTTCAGGAAGAGACCGAAGGAAGCAGCTAGCTAACTAGGGCAAAGGACGATCAACAAACATTTGCAGGGATTCACTTCTTTTTTTTTTCCCGGTGTGGCTTCCAGTGTTCAAGTGTGAAGCATCATTTTGTCAAAGGAATATAAATTCCCTTTCCTTACAACTCCTTCTCCTGATTAACCCTCCCCATCCTAGACGTCAGACTCCATACCAAGCCTTGTACCCGTGTGTCTCTTGCAGCTGCAAGCAGAAAGCCAGGGGAGCCTTTGATCATCTCTGACATCAAGAAGGGGAGCGTAGCACACAGGTGAGTGCAGAGTTTCCTATCTGCCAAACCCATTGCAAATCGTCCAGCCCAGTAAGGAGAAGTAGCGTGCAGCCCAAGCAATAGCACTTGGGTCTGGATTTTGCCAACATCCAAGGAGATCTCAACCCTAGAAGTTTCTTTTACACCACAGTAGGTTTTGCAATAAAAACTGCCTGTATTGAAGCAAGTAGAGTTGAGCTAATGGAGAAGGTGACCGGGGCATTGATTCAGATGTCTGCTGACCCTACAGGAGATGGATGTTTAGCATTTAAGAGCATGTGGTAAAGGGCTTCATATATTGCATAAGGTGCTATGGCTCATCAGGTAGTTTGCCATGTCTCAGCTCCTGCTCGGGTGAAGAGAATGAGTGAATTGTGGGCACCGGTGGAGAACTGTGCAAATAACTCGGCATTTATTGACTTCACCTCTGATCCCAACACCTCATAGCAAGGCTTTCAGAGGAATTTAGTGCTGCTGGAGGGCTCATTTCTAACAGTGCTCATACAGGAGTTTCCATATCTGTCAGTTAAACATCAGGCATTTTTCAGTGCTGTAGGTTACCCAGGCTGTATCTCTGACCTTCCTGCCTTGTTGTGTGTTGATGTATTGCCTACACAACCTTCCTCTCTTTAAAATACAGTTGTCCCAGACTCTGTTTGCGGTTGTTTCCCAGAAAAGATCAAGGACGGCAAAAATTTAATATTGTCATTGCTGCTGCAGGACTGAATGCGTCATGGGATCTGAAAGGCAAATACAAATGTACTTTTAGTTTTCTTTTCCTTTCCGCATAGAACTGGCACCTTGGAACCGGGAGACAAGCTGTTAGCCATTGATAACATCCGACTCGACAATTGCTCAATGGAGGATGCTGTGCAGATTTTAAGGCAGTGTGAAGACCTGGTCAAATTGAAGATTAGGAAGGATGAAGATAACTCTGGTACAGAAATCCTGATGCAAACTGGTGCCTGTCCACTGTAATGACATTTCCCAATAGGTAGTGCAAACCAACAAAGATAAGGTGCTGCCGCTTGTTCGGTCACCACTTTCCGATTGATTATAGTCTATTTTTGTTATTCTGCCCTTAAATGGAATCTGGAAGGTTAAAATCCTATTTGGTATGAGCATAGCTGAAGGCCTTAGGCTTTTGCTTCTAAATGCTGCAAGTCTTTCCCATGACCTGTTTCGTATGGCTAATTAAAAAATTCAGCATTCCTGTTTTTTCTCTTTCAGATGAGCAGGAGACAACAGGTGCTATTATCTACACGGTGGAACTGAAGCGATATGGTGGCCCCTTGGGAATAACCATCTCCGGGACAGAGGAACCTTTCGATCCTATTGTCATTTCAGGCTTGACTAAACGAGGGCTGGCAGAAAGGTGAGGTTTTGGGGGCAGAGGGGTTGAATTGGTGTGGGAAGGGTTCTTGAAGTTTGCAAAGTTTCTTCTGCTGGCATAAACTCTTCTCAGATGTTTTAGTCTGCTAAAAAGGAAAGGTGCTATGAAGGTACCAAGCGCTGTGAAGCAGGGACAGCCCTGCCAGTCTGGCTCTGCAGACCCACGCAGGAGTTGTGGGGTGGTCAGGGCAGTGACAGAGGCTCAAAGCTGGGCACTTCTGGAAGACTCAGATCCAGTGTGTCAGTTGAGTGCAGCAGCCAGAAAAATGTATTTATTTGCTCTTCTTCCACAGAGGTGCTCTCTGGTCTGTGATTTCCCATGCACATCTTGCACTGGGAGACCACCCAGCCTGCCCACAAAATCACTGTAGACTCCTGTCCTGGAGTCACCTATTGCTAAACTATGGCTTACGGCCATGGCAGCGGGGTGGTCCGGCGATTTTTTTGGGGGTCTTCTGGCCCATCCTTGCTGATAGTCAGTCTGTTACGTATGGGGGTATCTCGGTGCAGGGCTGGCATGCTTCAAGCAGCAGACATTTATGCAGCATAAATGTAGGTGCAGATTTACCTTTGGCAACTGGGGAGGATGACTCTGTGTGTGCCTGTGTCTGAATATACGTGAATGCGTGGGATTTAAAGGATCAGGACATTGCTGAGAATATAAGGTGGAACTGAGTCATACACTGTATCTTAATTAATCTGTCTACACGGTAGCTGTGACTTGTAAATAGATCATTTCAGCAGCCCTGACTCATGCTTCTCACAGGGTTGCTTTACCCTGTGCTGCTTGACAGACAGAACAGCAGCAAAAAAAACCCCTGAACAAATAGGTGTAAAGTGCTGGACCTTGGGGAGGTTTGACTGCAGATCTGGCCTTTTGGCTCTTTGTGTTTCGAGGCCACACTCCCTCTTAACTGGCCTATAAAACAGCTTAGTGCCTCTTTCTGCATTGGGTTCCTCGAGCTCTCAGCACGCATGCTGCTGTGCATTTCCTTTGCTTTCCTTCGGTACAGAAAGCAGAACATCAATGTTTCCCAAGAAGTAAGGAAGAGCGATGAAATAGTCATTAGTGCTTTTTCTCTTTTTTTATATCACTGCTCACCACTGTAGGATTCAGTCTTTTTCCCTAGGAAATAGTAGCTATAGAGTATCCCAGGCTTTTCTGCGTAGCAGTTCTGTGCTGTACCTGCAGCCCAGCGTAAGAGAGGTTAAGGACAGAAAGCCCAAATGCTGTCAGGCTCAGAAGACAGTCTCCTACCCTTGTTGCTCTCAGTTCCCTTTGCAATGCCGTGGCTGTTCCTCCTTCGAACTTGGATACGCATCAATGACTGCTCCACAGAGAAACATAGTGCAGAAAAGTGCTGCGGTACTATTGAATTTTGATCAGGAGCTGGCAGGCGGTAAGGAATGCAAAGCTCTTTGAGAAGAGCGATGGAGCCGTTCAGCATGTTCACTGTTGCAGACTAACAAATGACAGTGCCTGTGCAGAGGAGCAGCGTGGGGATGGAGAAGCGCGGGGATTTCTCTGGGTAACCTTGGCTACATGCAGGGAGGGCGAGGAGTGCTGGGATGAAGGCTGTCTGCAGGAAAGGTGCGTTTATTTTTTTTCTCCTGGGAGTAACAGAAGGGGTGGCTCGACCTTGTCAAGGGAAGAGGTGTGGTCCTAGTGTTATCTTAAATTGTCCCTTTCCTGCTGTCTCTACCCTTCCCTGTGCCACAGGCGCCCTTAGCCAGGCTCTGAAGGGTGGGACAGGTTTTTGAAGGACAGGGATTTAAACCCAAATCTGTGCCTGGCTTTTGCTGGAGCACAGGACATGTTTCAGCAGCTCTGCCACGGGGTGGACCAGATCGCAGTGTCTGATAATGGGAATGCGCCAGCCGCTCTTGTAGAGGCACAAGTGAAGGTCTTTGCTGCAGCTTGGGCTGCTTGCTTGGCGATGGGGAAGGCGGGGTGTCCTCTAAGATCTGTCACATGTCTGTCACAGCGGGTGACAGGCTGTCTAAGCTGCAAAGGCTCCAGATTCAGACAACTTGGGTTTTATCTTGACCTTGAACATTTTTCTCCTTGTACGTGTCTGATCTTACAGAAACCTACAGAGGCAGCTCAGGGTGTTGGGTTGGTGTCAAGCGGTGGCTCTCTCCCATGTTAGTCTTTCTTTCTTCTCCTTTAGTGCCTGCAGGTGGCTTTAGCCTGGACCATGGGACTTGTTTTCCGTCTTCCTGGGGAAAGGAGTGTGCCTGAACAATACTGTTAAATTCTAGTGGAGGTGTAATGGTCCTCCAAGAGCACTTTGGGGCTATTGCTGGCATTTTGAAGTACCTGACGGACCTCCTCTAGTGCCACCTGGTCAAGTAGGTGAGGGTGGCGGCAGGAGGGTTTTGTCCAAGAATGCTCGGTACCAACCCATGTTGGCAGGGGAGAGAAGGGATGGTGGCCCTGCCCATGTGCCAAGTAAATCCCTACCACCTGTATGCAGCCACCTCTTCTCCAGTGCTTGCTGGAAAGTGCCTGCAGCCCCTTTTATACCTTGCAACTTACCTGTTGCTCAGTTCTGCTCTTGCATGTGTCCTCTGGGCAAGAAGGGACATACAGCACACAGCTCCTTGGGCTGGTTTGTGTTTGAGGGGAATTAAGGACTGTTGGTGATGGTGGAGATGCACAAGGGTCATTAGCTAGAAACAGCTTTTTCTCTTGCTCCTGCTTGGCTTCTGTCTGCTTGTCCTCACAGGGGTGCCTGGAGATGGACAGGTGAGAGGACTGGACTTTGATTTACTGTTCCCCTCTTGAAGAAAAACACCTGGCTGAACGTGACCTTTCTCTTTAATTGTTTCTGTATTTTTCCCCGCTGAGGGACTTTCACAGTTTCTGCAGAGCAGTGGTGGTGTTCAGAGACGGGTGGTTGGGCTGGTGTCTTGGATAGGACGTGCGTCCCCATGCTGAGTTCAGGGCTACAGCAGGAGGCCCTCAAATGCTGAACCACTGCAGCGAGCGAAGGATCACCTTTAAACTGCCAGCAGTTAAGCTTGATTTTTTTCAGCTGTGTAGATGAAACTTTTAAGACAAATACTGCGGTTCCAGTTTGATCTGTAATTTATTTGAATGCACAAGTACTCCCTGAGGGCTTTTTCAGGCTGACGTGGATGGGACAAGACGGACATCTAGTGGCTGGCTGGGAGGGACCTCAGGGCACGCTCCAAGTATCGCAGCAGCAGCAGACTGAACAGTCCTGCCTGCTCTTTGGCTACATTTCCCAATTTGTTGTACTTGCAGTAGATGTTTCACAGCACTGTGTCTACAAAAGTTTCATATTTTGGGGAAAGACGTGCAGCTGTTTAGCCTGCGATGGTATATCAACTCCCAATTCTGCAGGAGCAGCAGTCCGATTTGGAGATGTGACCTGAGAGAGGCACGTTGCCATGGACAAAAAGATATTGCAGTCAAGATTTGCATCTCCTCCTGGCTCGGTCACACAGGTTCCTGATAGCTAAACCTCACAGAACTGATGGAGGAGGAGTGGGTTGCTGCTCTGGCTTACTGGTGTTAGGGAGCTGGAGTGTGAGTGTGGTGAGGTCGGTCCAGCCAGCGGCGAGCACGAGCTCCTGCCGTGGCAGTCAGCTCTGGCGATGGACACATCCTGTCCTGCCTGCTCTTCCCAGAGCTGCAGCGAACACCAGGAGGGGTAAAGTGAGCCCCTGTCTGTGGGCAGACACAGAGGGGAGGGATGGAGGAGAAGGGGGAGAATTGTCATGAGTGGTGAGTTTGTTCCTGGCTGTTGCTGAAGCATGAGAATTTATTTAGCTGAGAGCAGAAGGCAATGCGGGAATGTGGCTGTGCAATAAAACGCAGTAACCTCTCCTGGAGTGCTGGCCCTGATGGAGGAAGTCACAGAGGTGTAGCTGTGTAAGGGTGAGCTTTATCATGAACTGATCTGCAACTGGTTCAGTTCATGCTTGCACACTCAGTCTCTGTTTGTTGGGCCATTTTGGTTTTGTTTTCTTTCAATGGGTTTCTAGGTTTGTCTCATCATTTCTTTCCGTCAGCGTGAACATGCCCATCAGTTCCACGTGTGATGACTGGTGGCCATCACACGCTGGAAATGCTTATGTTCTTAGCGTGTAGACCCCCTTGCTTTGACGAATTTTGACTCTTCACTGCTGGTCTGCAGTCCCAGTTCCCGAGGAGCCTGGGATCCAAGGAGTGCATAAGTTCCTGTGTGTATTTGTATGTATGGCAGGTGGAAGGATGGGGGAGGGTGGAACGGGATTCCTGATAGTGGTGATGAAGAGGAAATCATGGGTATACCGTGTACTGAGGGGACACCAAGACACATTTCAAAGTGCTGAGAGTTAATATGTTATTGCTTTAAGCAACAACTTAATGGCCTGTCTTGCACAGGCGAATTGCTTCTGCGAAGTTTCTAACAGCGTCTTTTCTCTCCAGAACTGGAGCCATCCACATCGGTGACCGGATATTAGCAATTAATAACGTGAGCCTCAAGGGCAAACCGCTGAGCGAAGCCATTCACCTGCTGCAGATGGCGGGAGAGACGGTCACTCTGAAGATCAAGAAGCAGACGGAGAGTGAGTTGGGGAGCCTGGTTTGGGGGTGGGAGGGCGAAGGCGCACCCCGGGCGATGGAATAGGCAGCACTGTGGGTTTTCCTTCATGCGTTGTGGAAGGTGAGCCGAGGGAGCATGTTCAGGGGCATGGCTGGGGACAGAGGGAAAAGGTGGGTGTTTTTTGAACTTCTGACTCACAGACGGGGAAAAAAAGGCAACCCAGGGGATCTCTGTGGTACTGGGAAGAGATTAGACAGTAGGTTTATTGGCGATAATAATTTTTTTTCAGACTGACACCTTGTGCCATTCCCTGTCTGTGTGGGTGTTTCACACAGAAGTGAAGCAGAAGTTGCTTTTAGAAGTAGAAGAGTGCAGGGTTTTTTAAAATATAACCTCCCAAAATGAGTGAGGGGATTCTGAGCTGGTAGAATCCATGAAAAAAAACCAATCCACCTTCAATTCAACTTTTTGAAAGTGACTGGCAATAAATCTTTTATGGCCCTTTTCCTGGCTTTGGGTCCTAAGATCATCTTTCAAAGCATCTGCTGTAGAAATCCCCTTCTCATTTCCCTGCCAAGCTCCCTGTGGCTTTGAAGCTGTTGTTCTTGACACGGTATCAAAGAGCAGGAGCATACTTAGTACAGGCAGGCCACTTTTTTGGGGGGGGCTAGAGGGGGGATTGGTGAAACCAGGGAACATGCAAACTTTTCTCCCCAATTGCGTAATCACAGCCAAATAGGCTTTTTCATCAACTTCAGAAAGTAGTGGCTGCATTCTGGCTCCCCACACCCAGTATTTTTTATCTTTTTTTTGTGCTATGCTTCTGCAGTCTCTAGATTTAGCTGGACCTACCCAGCCAGTGGCCCACAGTGCTGTGGGAATTAGAAGAAATCAAGTGATAAAGCTCTTCCAAGCAAGCGTGGCCCATGGGATGTCTGTCCTGCATCTGAAAAAGTAGCATCACTCTCAAATATAGCACTTCTGTAGACCTCAAAGCAGTTTGCAAACGTGTGGCAATGCACCTATTTTACAAATGGAGGAAGCCCAGGCAGGGAGTGGGGACTTAGGAAATAGAGGCAGAACTGGGGAATCGATTCCTCTTCAAGAAGCCCCAGTCTCATTCCCTGCAGCCAAATGTCTTGATCCTTGGTTGACACTTAGCATTGTCACAGCCACTTGCTGAAATAATTGACATGCAAGTGCCAGTTGGAGACTCGTTAATCATTCTGAGAATGAAGCAGGTGTAATTGAAATTTCAAGGTAATCTTGAGTTAATCATGGTGAGCAATCTTCTGAATGCTTGGAAAATGGGGACTTTCAGGACACTGGGCTTTGTTTGGTAAAATAATCTGTCCTCATTGACAAATGCAGACTTTCAGAGGGCTTTTCATCCCAGTCTCTGCGAGTCAGAGATCCAGGGTGTGGATGGCTAACAGGGATATCTAATCATCGAGGACTTTAAAATATTCAGTACAAAGAAATGCTTGTGCTGAGACACCATTCCTTGCATAGCTTTCACCTGAAAGGGAATTTGATATAATGATAATAAGGGCCTATTATTACTAAAATAATGAAAGGGAAGGCCTGAGCTTCATCATCCACATTCAGCTTTCCACTTCCCAATCACTAATCAGGTGAAATTCAGCCTCAAAACACCAGGCCCAGGAATTCCGCTGTTGTCATGGGACTGCGTGGGAGACTCTGGAGGGGTGGTGATTAGCCTTGGCTTGATACGAGGTTGTACAGTCTTGGAAGGCGGCTGTAACTTCAGCTGCGGTAGTTTGGGACCAGGTTGCATTGTCATTGGAAACTCATTAAAACATCTGCTTTTAACAGAAAGTTTGCAGCCAGCACCCTGACTCGGTGCTGCTCCGAGTAAAAAGGAGAGAGCCAGAGGAGCTATGGGCTGTTGCTTGCAGAGGCCAACACTTCTCTGGGCAGGGCTGTTTGGAGGAAGCTTCCAAAGGCACAAGAAGATGTGCTTGTGAATTGAGATTAGACCCCAACTCTCTCATATTTGGGAATCCTCAAATCCCCATGGTTGCTCCTTATATTCCATGTGCTAAAAACTCAGAAAGGCATTTTTTCTTGATTCAGCTTGAAGAGTACTGTATTAAATTCTTTCAACTGCAGTACACAGGCCTTTCTCAGCTACTTTTGAAGAGCTAGAGAGGTACTTCAAAAGACTTAGAGTACCTGGGCTTGCTCCCACATCAGCATAAGCCTTTCCCTGAGGCTTTCTCTTTGCGCCTGCTAAAGCAGCATGTTCTGGTTTCAGAATCTTATCCCAAGAAGTCGGGGAGTATAAACGAAGTGAGCGACCCAGAAGATGACCTGACGGACTCCCAGAAAACTAGCAAGCTGTCTGAGATATACTCCACCACAATTCCTAGTGTGGACAGTGCTATGGAATCCTGGGATGGCTCCGGCATTGATGCTGGGTATGGAAGCCAAGGTAAGCCAGGGCTGTCTTTTCTTAGGGGTCTCTGGGCCAAGGTGAAGATAGGCAGAGCCTCTGAACCCGTCTGGAGCCTGAACGTGAGCCAAAGCCTGTGGTCTGACCACATTTGCATGGCTTCTCACTTCCAGCAAGGAACAAAATGTATTTTAAAATGCACTCATGTGGTGCTCTGAGTTGATGTATCTGTTTTAGGTTTTTATTGGCACATTTCTTCTGGCTTATATGGCATCATACTGTTCACAGCATTTTCAAAACCATTACAGCACTTTATAATTCACATAATCAGAGGAAGCATTCACTGGCCATATGTCTTACAAAGCGTTTGGTCCATTGCTCACTTTTAATTCTCCAGAGAGGCCATGTAGGATGTATTAATCCTCCTCAGGATGTTTTAAAATCCACAAGAATGTCTTGTGACTAGAAGCACTTACTTAACAAAATAATTAAGGTAATATTACAAGAAAGTATCTCTAACTCTAGTGAGTGATCAGATGAACGTGTGTCTTTGAGGCCAGGTTTATTCAGCTGTGGCTTCTGGCAGACATATGGAATTGGGATGGAGGATGGTCTAGTCATGGGAATAGATTTTTACTTGGAGAAAAGCACTGGAAAATAGTTATTACAGTTCAGATTTAGTGACATAAGCTAGTATTAGCCTGTGTTGAACCAAAACAAAACCCTGAATCACCTCCGCAAGAGGAAATTGGTGAAAAGACTGCTGTCCGGAACGGAATGTGAAAACAGGGAGGGATGCTGCAGGAGCACTGTCGCACACCACCTTCAATGTGCTGGGCAAGGTGTGTGCCGGTGCTCACTGCGCTCTGACTTAGAAGGGCGGCACTGCAGAGGTGTCTCTTCCACCATGCCTGCATCTTCCTCAGCCTCTGTTGTTCTGAAGTCTTAATTTGGGAGCATAGTTGGGACCGGAGGCTTCATTAGGGAGGAATCCCCTGGCCTTCATAATGCTGCAATCCTTCTCCATCTAATTGAATGTTACCACAAGTTGGAGACTGGATTTAGCAAAGCGATTGCTTTTACCGGTAAATTGAGAACGAGTAATTGAGCACAGAGCCCCAGGGAACAGGGCTGATGCCAAGTTGCCCAACATCCACAGTCTGCAACTTTGCTTCAGGGGCTCTCTCGTCTTCCCTGGTAATTGCATGCAGCTGCATGGTGGTGTGCTGGTGCTGGCTGGGAAGAGCGATGCTGCGGGGTAGGGAGAAGGACATGCAGGGTTGCCCGTGGGATGGGCAGGGAAGGCAGGATGCAGTGATACCTGAGATGCACAGAGCCTGGAGATTGGGATTTACACCCCAAATGGTGAACTATAGATCAGCCTCTGCAGCCTTGTAGGTTTTAGGTTCATCCACAGCTTTAGGAAACCACTCGAGGAAGGGTTTGGGCAAGGGAGCTGTGCTGGGCCTGGTGGGAACGTGCCACCAGGTGGCTCTGAATCCCAGGAATCCAACCCATCTCCCTGGAAGGAGGAGGGGAAACCAGTGGCACTCAAGTGAGAGCTCTGCACACATATCCCTGCGGTCCCTGGCCCTCTGCGTCCAGCCCAAACCTGCTGCCCACCCGCTGCAGGGACCTGCATCCAGGGACCTTGCTCTGCTCTGGCAGGCAGTGAACGCTCCTGACTGCTGTAAGATGTTGGCAAGCACTTTTCTAGGGTTCGCTCCAGAGCAGTCTAACCTTTAAAAACACACAGAGGAAACGCTCAGCTAAGTGAAATAACAGGCCTTGGCATTTTCAAAGAAAGTGCTGGCGTTGTCTTGGGGTATTTCCAGTGCTCTTAGCTGTTTGGGAGGTCAAGTCTCCCTTAATTATGTGTTTCTCTGTTACCTCTTCCTGTTCACTTGGCACAGCGTGTGATGGAAGTGTACGATGTTTCTTGGAAAGGCTGTGAGGATTTCTCTGAAACATTGAATGGGCAGCAGGAGGTGGGCAGGGGACGTGTGAGATTTATTTCTACTGCAGATGGCACTGACACTACTGAGCAATGCTCTGTTTTTGAAGGTTTCTGTCCAGGCAGCTCCTCGTGAGACCTGGGGATCTTGTGACTTGGTTGCGGAGGATGTGCATCTCTGGAGTAAGACACTGCAGTACAGAAAAGTCCATGGGAGCAGACATAGTGAAACTTGTCTGATTTCATCCTAACAGTCTGTATTGATCTGCTATCAAATCTCATACAGATGAGCCTCCCCTTCTCTCAAGCCAGCAGGGTTTTTCCTGCTGTTCCTTGCCCTTCACACACATGTCCCTACAGCAGTTTTCTGTACCTGCACGAGCTGATCCCGAAGGCATGGGAGGGCTCTGCTGGCTGCGGGAACTGGCTGGCAGCTCTCAGGATCAGGGCTGGCTCTTCCTCATTTACCACTGCTGAGCACACTGGAGCTGGTGACCACCACCAGGTATCTTCAGGACCATTACACTTGCTGATAGAGGCTGTTGCTTTTGGCTGCTCTGGATGCATTTTCTTTGCTGTATATCCTATTACTTTATCCTTCTATATCCTATTACTTTTTTTTTTGTGCTATCCATTAAGTCCCTAAGACCGTTGAGAATCTAAATGAAGATTTACCGTTTTTTCTCCTAATAGAAATCAGGCCTCCAAATCCTTCAAAACGAATGGGGTTGGGCACGCTGAGGGAAGCTTGGCAGCATCTTCTCTCTACCCTTTGAAGGACTCGTATTTAAAGGTGGCTGCCTCAACAGCACAATTTCTGTTTGGTTCAGTGTGGAACCAGGAGTCATTAACCAAGGTTGGAGCTGTCTGGGGGTAGGATCTGCATCTGTGGGTATATATAGTCCCAGGTCTGTGGATCCCAGACCCACACCACAAAACTACTCAGACGTGGGAGAGCAAAAGAGAAATGGGGCACCTTATGACAAGCTGAGAAGCTGCTTTGGTTAAAGCAAGAAAAGATGGTAAGAACAACGCCTTATGGATGACTGAGATGGAAGCAGTGTGCAATCCATATGGCCTCAGGTTTGGGACTTGGCAAGGAGGCTCTTCTGGCTCAGCGTGACTTACTCCATTTGGGTTTTCTGACCAGGTATTACCCTCTCTCTCTGCCCCCTCTTGCCTTCCCTAGGTCCGTACGTACCTCAGGCTGCAGGCATAGCCCTCCATCCACATGAGTGGAGACACAGCAGGCAAAAGAGCAGCACCCCTCCAGGGGACCCTAGGAAAAACTACCCCTACATGGACGGAAGCTTCAGTGAAGATGACTGGGACAAGCCCAGCAGGTACGGAGGGGTGGGAGGAGGCAGGGAGGCACGTCTGCAAATGTGGGTGTCGCTGCATAGGGACAAGGGGGCATGGGAATGTGATGGAGCAGCCAGCGATGTCCCCATCTCAGCATCGGGCAGCTATGGGGAGGGGTGCTGGGGTGGTGACCTGCTCTGTCAAACCACCTCCACATTGCCAGGTTACCCTGGGTGTGTAGCTCTGTGGCACCTCTGCCGTGGCCAGGTGACATTTGTGTCTGGAGTTAGGGCGATCTCAGCTGCATGGACCACAGGTTCTTACCACGTCTCATACTCCTGCCGTGTAAAGGCTGTAGTATTTTCATAGGTTAGATGTAATAAATAGATATGGTCAGGGCTGTCCCCACATGTGTTGGCCAGACTTTTTTGAGTGAGGATGCAGCTTCACAACAGCTCAATGCCATGGAGCAAAAGAGGCCAACCAAAGCTCATGGAGGACCAGTATGAGGTTGCACGTCTAAGTTAAAATCTCCCAGAGCTGTGGCTGGACATCTCTCTCCATCACACTTTAGCCCTCCCAATGCCACAAACAAAGCCATGCTGAGTCAACACGGTCATGTTAATCCCCCGGCTCAGCCAGCGTGGGAGAAATCCTGCAACACCTCCTGAGCCTTTGGAGGAGGCTGCAGCTGCCCCTCGCTTTGGGTGAAAATGCTGCTGGATTTGCCCTTCCCAGGGGTTGCCCCTCACTGAGCCACACATGGTGGAGAAGCCTCATTGCTTTGTAACTACCCCTCCCCTCAACATCCTCCAAGAGTCCCCATAGTTGTGTGTGTCGTGTTGTTACTGTCCTTTTATTTTTTTTTCTTATTTTTTTTTCTTAACTTTTGTTTGTCCAAACAAAACCCTTAGAACATCTCATGGCCATTTCCACCTATTTAAAGATGATCAAACTGGCAGGAAGGCTGGCAGCGGCAGAGACTTTGTTCTTGTTTTGCCTCTCAGCGAGACCCAGCACGCAGAGGTCGTTGATCCCTCGTGGCCCTCCCAGTGAGGCTGCCGACAGCTGAAGTTAGCAAATCTGAGTGCTCGAAGCCTCGCATGTCCCTAGTGAGGGCTCTGAGCCCCGATGTCAAAGTGCAAGTGAAACGGTTCATGCTGCTGAGCCCTTTTTATTAGGGAGAAAAACAAAATGTCTCTAACCCCGGCTGCCTTTAGCCTGGAAAAACCTGCTGACCCAGTGGTGTGAGAGCCCATACTGATTCATCCGCGTCCTGGATGTGTTTGTTATATTGCTGACCTGAGAGGCAAGAAACTGGTAACTGGAAGGGACGTTTGCCTCTTTGGGAACCTGGGAGCAGAGGAAGGAAATGAGTAAGGGGAAAGAATTGAAAATTCCTTTTGGGGGGAAATTTTGGTTTATTTTTATAAAGTCTTGCTGGGTGTTTTTTTGACCTTTCTGCCTGGTGTAAAGGCTACTGTCCTTTAAAAGCTGATGAAAGGTAGGGGGTGAATTTAAAATACAATAAGTTGTGTCAGATACTGCTCTCTCCAGGCAGGCCACGATCCCACAAGGAGCAAAAGTATGTGTGTGTGTTTATGCCTGCTACAGACTCCCATTTAAACCAGTGGACAAAAAGCAAAGCGTGTGCTAAAGACTTTGCAGTTAATAGAGATCTGGAAAAAGCTCTATTAGTACCCTAAAGGGTCATTATAAATTTAATGGAGGCCAACGTCTCTTTGACTTGTACTCAAGTAAAATGTTTTGACTTTGCTAAGTAGCTCTGGTGGATGAGCGTCCCTTCCTGTCTGCGGCGCTGATGACCATTAAGCCATGCGAGATGCTGCCAGATGTTGCAGAGGTGGAGCCTCGTCCATGCAGCTCCTAATAAGATGTGTAGAAGATGCATTAGGGCTGCTCTAATGTCGCTGTCCCCTTGGGGTCTCTCCCCGTGACACATTAGTGGGTTTATCATGACCTTGAGTTAACACCACAGAGAGTTTCCTTGGAGAGGCTTCTGTTACGCGTTACGCTGAGCGCTGACGGTCTGAGTTTTGCACAGAGTCTGGTGTTCACTAAGCAGTGTTCAGTGTCACCTACTTCTCTGGCTTGTTCAGAGGACTTCGGCATGTTTAATTGCTATTTGCTTTAGAAATCCGAGAATTGACCCTGGCTTGTGGTCAGAGATAAGAGATGCTGAAACTGCCAAGGTGAGAAATTGCAGAACTGTCAACAAGACACACACGGTGTTCACGTTAACGTGTGTGTGTACCAACTTGAGAGAGGTTCTCTCTAGCCTTACTCTCTGGTGTAGACAGAACTGGTGGCAATCTTTACATGGCTGTAAGTGCCATGCCTGTTATATAGCAAAAAAAGAGAGACCTCCTGAAAGGAACGGCTCAGTTCCCTGGCCATCCCAAAGCAAATGAAACTTGGTTTGTGTGGGTTACGCGTGACACTGTCGATATTGCTGGCTGTAGTGTGCATTTACTTGTCCAGCCCAGGGCAATCATTTTTATATACATCTTTGCATTATTTACTCTCATAGAGACCTAATGTATTTATCATTTGCTCACCATGTCTGTTACCCTCTGTGTTTTTCTCTCTCTTCTCAGGTGTTCTGTGTCTCAGATCTGAGCTCTATCCCATCAGCCTTTGTACTAACAGTCTCTGAGGCTCCTGGTTTACCCATAACGCATCCTTTTTTCTTTCACTTCTCTGTTTCACCAAAACGTCTTCCTAAACCTACAATCTTCCTACAGGCACTTTTTAATTTACCCTTTGAACTTTGACATTACTACACCAACTTAATTCTTCCTTTGAAGGACACTTGCCCCGTTAGTAAATGCATGGAGGTCTCGTATTCGGACTCTTGTCTGAAAAGTTCATATTGTTTGCTTTTGTATATGAAGACTCTTCAAGTCTCTGCTTTTACTGGTGAGACACTTGCTGTAGCCTTGCGGCTTTCATCCTGCTGCAGAAGAGTGCTGACAATGTTTGGTTCCTACGTTACAACAGATACCCCAACCGCCAAAATGGCCTTGAGACCACTCACGAGGATAGTTTTTGGCGTGTTTTTGGAGAAGCTTTGGAGGATTTGGAAACATGCGGCCAGTCTGAACTTTTGAGGGAGATTGAGGTAACTCACTTTCTGAATTTGCTGCCGATCTGACTGTTCTGCTCTTGCTGTAAATGCTAAGACTGTTTCTCCGGATCTGTTAATTGCCCATAGCATCCCTGTGCTGCCAGTGGTGTGAAGAAGGGTTCAAGTTTAATCCATGTCAGTGTTTGTGCTAATGGATAACTCTGTCTCATTAGCTGCTTGCGTGCACTTTTTCCCTGGGCCGATGACTTACCTATCAGGAACTACACGCTCTTTTTGCAAACTGTTGCTGGCCAACAGTCTTCACATGACTGTTGGCAGACCTTCCCTATCAAACGATAAACCCTCTGCTTGGAAGGATATTGTCTGTCCACTTGGCACTTAAAGGCCAAGCAAAAGAAACCCCCCAAAAGCTCATTGGGACTGAAGCCTTGGCTTACTTCAAATATAGACAGGCCCAACATACATCTTGCATTCAGCTGTCACTCTGCCGGAAACTGCTTCAGTGAAATAGGTAATTGGAAGCTTTTCAGCCAGCCTTCCCCGTGGAAAAATCTGAGAAAGTAATTGCTTCCTGCAGAAATAAAGGTGTTTCCTCTCTTCACAAACCACTTTCTCTTTTCTTTATCCAAAATGCTTTGGAGGTCATGTTATTGTGTCCGGTTATAGGATGAGGCGCCTGGATTTCTAAGCTGTGGGATGCAAATAAAGGCCTCCCTTGAGACTGTCAAACAGCGGGAAGCAAACCTGTCCGGCAGGATGGGACCTGTGCTGCTCCCCTCCCCGATTCGGCTCCCGCAGCCCAAGAGAAGGAGGGGAACCCCGCGAGCTCATCTCTTCCTCTGCCTTCTGGGTGCAGAGGACTGGGGAGAGCTCGATGGGTCATGCCCTCCATCACCCCCAGTGGGACTGTTTTTGTTCTCACTTGCATATTGCTCAGGCTTCAGAGAAAAAAGGCAATTTCTGAATAACTGGAGGTGGAAAAGGAAAGTCTTGTTTTGGTCTATATGGTGACAAGGAACTTACTAATTGTTCTTTCCTCCTTGATCCTTAGCAACTGTAAGTGGGGGAGGAAATATCAATTAAATTTACTGTGCTGAAGCCAGAAACAGCGTATTTATTATCTTAACTGCTTGAGAAAATGCTGACTTAAAAAAAAAAACCCGACAACCAAAACCAACACACAAAACCCCAGACCCCTGCAAACTATAACTTCTTCCCTTGATCACTTATTTCCTGGACCTGAATATATTTAGAAATAAGTTTAGGCAGCCTCTATCAACCTTTCTGAACTGTTGTTGACTGCTTAAGAAAAAGTACGGCTCTGAAACGATGCATAGATGTTTCTCTTCTGCATAATGGCTGGCGTCTAAATGTAAAAGAAGGGATTTGTTGGACTACTGTGAAATGCCAGGAGAGAGAAAATATCTTTCTGCCCAATCCTTTTCCTTTTCCAGGGATCTGTGGTGCAGGGATGCGTGGGCTTTTGATTCATGCTGTTTGAATGCTTTGGAGCTTTGACAGTTATAGCAATGCTTTTAAAAATGTAAAGAAATTTTACAAAAAGCTGAGCACCTCTAGGGTTTTAGTGTATTTAGCACGCTTCTAGAATATTTTGGAAAGTTCTGGGGACAAAAGGAAAGTGCTGTGTTTTTAGCAGAAGCTTGATGGGTTTCAACTCCCCTTTTATCTAACTCAAAGCAGCACTGATGTGTTCCTCCCTCTCCGTGTGCCCATCCTTCCTGAGGTGTGGTGTGGGATGTGCAGTGCACATTGGGGCTCTTGCTGTGTTGCAGGTTTCTAAGCCCCAGCTCCAGGACAGTCACAGATTTATTTATTTGTTTTTAATTTAAAAAAAAAATAAAAAATTGGCCCTTCATGCTCTGCATTTGAAAAAGAATAAGAGTCATGCAAGATGACCCAAGATAGCCTGGAAACAGATTCACACACAGTAGCAATCCACTCCCAGACTACAGGGTATGAGTACAAACAGGCTTTTTCCAGTATGTCTGGTGAAGTGTGTGTCCCCACTTTGCTTTGAGGGCAGGCAAGACATGGAGAAAAACAATGTGGGGCAGCCATAGGCTGGGGAAGTCCAGAATTGCCCTTTCTGCTGCTTGCGCTTAGCCCACAGCACCTAGCGAATTGCTTATGATGCTGCAAGGAGCATTTAAATACCTCGAAGACAGAAGAGTTGAATGGTGTTGGGTACTGGCCGGTTACGGTATTTGCAGTGCATGAGGGAGGACAGTAGCACAATGTGCACAGACCTTTCTGTTCTCCTCACTGGCTCCACAATGCTGGTGTTGGTACGGCACGGTGCCCTGAGGGCTGCTGAGGCTGCGTGAGGGCAGTGAATAAACGTACCCTGGTCGGCTGTGCCGCCGTTTGTTAGTTTGTGTTTCAGGTATGTGGTAAGTCAACATCCTTCCAGGATGTAGCAGGTAAATTTGAGTTTTGTCCAAACTCGAGCTGATTAAGTCATTTTGGTGTGAAGACCTGAAAAGTGCAAAGCTAAAACATTTTCTGTGTTTTATCCATCCCTGTTTGGGAGAATGTGGGTAGTGCTGGCATTTTCACACTGCCACCAGAATTCCCTTTATTTGCCTCTGTTCCACCTTGGAGCAAAGAGCTGGAGGGCCTTCATTAGAGATTTAGTCGGATGGTATTTCCCCTGTGCACAGGAGCAATTGCTCTTTGACTTGCCACATTTAGCGTTGCAGAAATTTGCTATCTGCTCCCTACCTTTCCTTTTCTTTCTTCTACCTTTTGACATTTAATGGGACTGCAGACCCTTGGAGCCTGAACTTTGAAATGACAGTTTTCATTACGCCATTTAAATGGACTCTGTGACCTGGAGCCAGTTGAGGTTCCACAGACTGGATTCTTGACTCCTTCGTTAGCTTTGATCAATGTAATCTCATTAGTGAAAAGCATTGCCAAATGGAGTAGAATCTACTTAGGGGCATCTTTTAATGGATGCTATCAAGGATGACCAGACTTAAATACTACTTAATTTCATATTTTTAACTCAGTTTTGCTCAGTGACAGCTCCCATTTACTGACAGATAAAATCCTAATTTCTCTGCTGAATTGGCCTCAGTGGAGTCCAAACTATTGACTCCCCTGGGCCATTGCCAGCACTGTGCAATGCTGATGGTGAGCTGCAGCCTACAGCGGTAGACTGGAGAGCCAGGCAGACACTGGTTCCCCTGAGAGACTCCTGAGATCAGGATGTTCATCCTTTTTTGGCTACCAAGAGGTTCCTGCACAAGATGAGGCCTGCCTGGCCCTGTTTGTGTACAAGGGGTCTTCAGAAAAATAAGGAGATGCTTCACAAGTGCTTCCTTCTGAGATTAAGCTTCATGTTGGGGTGGAGGTGGCGAGCACCCAGCAGGTCAGCAATAGACCTGGCAGAAGGCTCCTGAGGTCTGGAAATGGCTTTTACAGCTAACTGGAAGAGCTTCTTGGTACTTATTTTCTGATTAATGAGAACAATAGTGCCCCCCTGTTGTTTGTGTCACTTGTGTTCCCCTCCATTGTTGCCATGCGTTCCATCTCGTCCTGCTGCTGGCTCAGCAGAGTGACTTTGTGCCCTCGCCCTACAGGCATCCATCATGACAGGGAGCGTGCACAACCTGGGCCTGGAGGGCAGCAAGCTGCTCCTGGACTCTGTCAACCCATCGGGACTGAGCCCATTGAGGAAAGCAAACCCCAGCTGTGATGACAGACAGACTGAGGGCAGCAGCTCCCCTGCTAAGAAGAATGAGAGGAACTTGGACATGAAGAAGATCGAGAAGGAGATGCAGGAAATCATGTCCCCTACCCCCCTCGAGTTTCACAAGGTCTGTGTTGCCAAGGGTTGGTCTGGCTGTGGCACTGCGGTACCTCGATGGTTAAAAGCTGTAGAAGCTTTGCAACCTTGCAGAAAATCTCCTTTGTTCAGAGGGATGCCCAGAAAACGTTCCTTGTTCAAGCTGCCCCACCCCAAGTTCTGCAGCAAAGGTTTCCAGAGGGTCAGATTAAGACAAAAGGGCCTCTTTTCTGAAGAGTCGCAGGATTTAGCTGCCGTGCTTTAGCGGGGTTCAAACCTGTGCTTTGCTGTTTCTCTTTATTATATGAGATTTCCAGCTCCTTGTGTTCTTGAGTTCATTGATTGGTGCTACAGATGCAAGTGAGAGAGCTCAAAGTATGGCCCTGTGGAGACCCATCAACCTTTTTCCAGTGGCACGCTCCATTCAATAGGCCAAGTTTTGTATAAAAAATAACTTAGAAAAACTGAAAAATAACTTCTTTTCCCTGCCTTTCCACTCCACCCCCAGCCTTTCCGAAGGGGTGCAAATGGTAGGACTGCAGCAATAGGATACTTGTTTGAATCCAGTACCCAGCTAAATATAGCCAGTTTAAGCATGGTGCAAGGCAATGGTAATTAGAAAAAGTAATTAACTGCAGAAACCGCTGATGCAGAATACAAGCAGGGAAGGGAGCTGGAGAGGTTTCAAAAAATTTGATTGCCTTTTCTTTCCTAGTGTGACTTTAGAACGAAACCTGCAGTTATGGTAGCTGGAAAAAACAACTTTTTCATGTTTGATCTGTTCTTGTCCTTCAAGGCATGGCAAATGTGTCTTTAAATAAAACTCCTTCGTACCTGAAGGAGGAGAGCTGTGTAATTAAGCATATTATGGGGTGACTCTTCATTCTGCTGGAGCGTCTGGTGTTGGCTGTGTTTGGAGAGGAGGTTGAGTCCAGGTGGGCTGCTCCTATGTGTCATCCTGGGCACTGTCCTTTCCAGGGACCGCACATGCGTGAGGCACACCCAGCCAAGAGCAACGGTGATGCAGTTAGACCCTCACGGTAGAGATGCACTCCTAGTTCATGGGAGGCAAAGGGAGACTGTGGTGTTGGAGAATCAGTTGTCCCTGGCTCCCAGTGTTACCCCATGGCAAGATACACCTCCAGCAGTGCAGTCCTCCTTTAGACAAGGCCAAAGTGTGATGTGCTGAAGGGAAGGTGATGAGGTTACCCATTTTTTGTCCTCAGTACGTCAGCACTTATTGATATGAATTTTCTGAAAGGAACTTGTGAATAATATGGAGAAGTTTAGATGTGCCTGCTGAGTGATGAATTAAAAATGAGTTGTCTTCATGTTTGACACACTACATTGAAAATTCCCTGTGAACATGTCAATTTTTCATGTGCTGGTCTGGCATACGCAGAGGATGCACAGCGGAATCTGTGCCAGGGAAAGCAATGCTCCATTAATAACACTTGTTTGGTTGCTCTTTGGGTGAGATAGGGCAGCTGTCTGTGTTACAGTGCTTGTGTTTCCTTCCACATCCGAGGGAGAGGGACTGTTGTGTGGTTGGTTATACACCAGCCACTTCTCCATGCGATCTACCCAAGATGGTGGTGTCAGGCTCAATCTTCTCTTAGCTCAGGCTAAGAAAAATCTGCCCAGGAGACCCAGAGCAGAATTGCTGTAGGTCTGCACACATTACCTATGTTATTCCTGTACTGCCAACCTTGCACGCCTCCTTCCTCTGCTGCATTAAAACACGTGTTTTCTGTTTCTGCCTCTCCAGATGACACTGCACAAAGACCCAGAGAGTGAAGACTTTGGATTCAGTGTGTCGGATGGCCTGTTAGAAAAAGGTGTCTATGTAAATATGGTCCGTCCGGATGGGCCAGCAGATCAGTGTGGCCTCAAGCCATATGACAGAGTGCTTCAGGTAATAAATGCAAAATGCAGTTCTGGAGGCTGGGACGGAGTGAATGAGTGGCTGAGAGGAAGAGAGAAGTGAGACCCATCCATGGCAGCACTAACTTTGATGAAAGGTAATAGTTAGCCAACTAGGTGAGCTCTTAGCCACCGAGCGCTCAATGAGACCTGTGTTTTATAAAGAGAAATCACTAAGTAGTACCCCCAGGTGGTACCCCTAGGTTACACCTATTCCAGTACACAGCCTGTCCTGGCATTAGCCTTTTTGAGCTTGGGCAGCTCAAAACAACCAAAAAGCTGTGTTTCTTCCTTTCCTCACCCTTGGTCCTTTTGCTATCATGCGAGAGGGTGATTTTTGGATGAACTAGACTGTGTTGACCACTATGTATTCCTGCGAAGCCCCATGTGGAGTTAAGTAGTGTTCATGAAGTTCTGTGCATGCCTTTGACAACTAAAAGAGTTTTCTAGGAAACACATCCTTCAAGCAAAGTGTTTTTCATGGATATTTTTCTTTGGAAGATACCTGATCTGAAATAGCTGATGCAGAAGCAGAATAAAAACTCTGGTCAAAAGCAGTCTATAATAAGTGTGACCTGGGCATATCAGCCTACCAGAAGGACAGTAAGAGCATGGTGAGTTTTGGAAATTGGAGAGGAGCTTTGTATGGATGAAAAACAACTGTTTTAGCTTTGGGGCAACTCAAACAGCAACTGCGAAAGTGCAGCAACCCCAATGGAGAAATTGCCACCATTTGGAAATGCAGATATTGTGACCATATTTGGAAACACTCAGAAAGATGTTTAGTTTTACTAATTTCTAGGTGGGGGTTGTTAGAGGTAGGATTAGAGCCAATATATTATGTACGTCAGGTAACTGGAGAACTGGCAGCGCTGTGAGGAGCCTTGTTTAAGCTTGTTATGGTCTCTAGCCAGTTGGCTCCTATACAATTATTCCTTCTCGGCTTCAAATAAAAGATGGTGCAAGAATGAACAAGAAGCTAATTAGGCTCTGCGCTGCCTTTCTGTTGAATGTTGGATGTGTCGTTTTTTGCGAGTGCCAAGTGCTCTGGGAGGTGTGCCCAAAATCCTAAACAGAGCGGCGTGGAGACTTTCAACACCTTTCTTCCACATGCTGCGCTGCATGGCTTACACCTACAGGAAGGCGAGGCGATTGCTATCGCATTGACGTATGGAGTTGTGAATGAGGGATTGCAGACCTGGTACAGGCAAACTCCCATCAAGAAGTCCAGAGATGCGTTGCTGGGGATGCGTCGCAGTGTTGCTGATTATGGGCATGGTGGTGTGCCCGAAGGCCAGCAAAACACCTCGTCCCTGCAGTAACGGACCCTCTGCCCCTCGGCTGGATGGATTGCCTGGAGCACGGCATTGCACTAATGGCACTTCTGCGCTGGAACTGCCTGGCTGGCGCAGAGCAAAGGCAGAGCAAGCTCCTGGCTTCTCTCTCCTTGTCCACATGTGGTTTAGAAATTGTCCTTAGTTACTACTCTGTAAGGAGCGGTATTGGGGTCAACTGTGTGGACACCAGCTAGGGCAGGGGGACACTGCTACCATCACAGAGCCCAGCTCCATGGGCGTGCGTTAATGCTGGGAAAGGGTTTTGGATGGAAAGGCTGTATGGACTCACCCAGCCCTTCCCCAGAGAAGGAAGCAACGCCTGGCCCCAGGGGTTATGTTCACTCCACAGGTGGGTGGGAAATTCCTTTCTCCCTTCCCTGCTTCCCCTTCCTGTGCTGTTTGCCAGGCCCCTCCATCCTGGAGCTGTCATGGCACCAAGCCTGGGTGCTCTGGTAGCTGTAGGTGAGAGAGCTGGGGTGGTTCTTGCAGGTGACTGAGCCTAGAAATGTGCTTGAAGGTCTGGAAGAGAGCGGTAAAAAACTCTCTCTGAATCCTGCAGAGAGAGTTTGCTGCCGCCTTCTGAGCCCAAGTGAAATACATCCAGACTCCTCTGAAATGAAGGATGTAAATGGGGAGAGGAGAAGCAGAAACTGTTCAGCATAGTCTCAATTTACAGCTGGCTGAGCTGGAATATGGTTGGCGGAAGCCTCGGGGTCTGAGCTGTATTTGTTTTCTAGGCGCTGAATATCCTGCATCAGAAATTTAAGGCCAGTAAAAGCCACGATGGCAAAAAAATAATAGAAAATGGCAACCTTTCTCCCGCAGGCTTGAACTGGAGAACTGGTTTTGAGCCCTGCAGCATTTAACGCTTATAATACTGCCCCAGACACTGGGGGTCAGGGGTTCTGCCTGATCTAGGCTTTTTTTCCCCTTCCTCTACCAGTTACTGCATCATTTCTCAGCTAAGCAAGGATGTGCTCAGCCTGAAGGGGTGCCTCCGCTCTGCTCTGCTGTGAACTTGGAATCAGGGACCCCCAAGAGTTGTGTGTTTTCGCAGGTGTGGGTTTAGCACCAACCTTGCCTTTTCTGACTAACAAACATGGTCTTTCTGTTGTTCCTCCCCATGGCATGTCCTAAATCCATCCCGGCAGGTAAACCACATCCGAACGAGAGACTTTGACTGCTGTCTGGCTGTTCCCCTGATTTCGGAGGCTGGAGATAAGCTGGACCTGGTGATTAGCCGAAACCCCTTGGCACTGGCTGCCAACGCTCCCCTGGAGGGGAACAGAGAGCTGCCGGCGCAAGTGGCCCACGGCGCCGAGGTCAAGGCGAGCGTCCAGACGCTCTGAGCAGCGGGAGCAGAGCAGACGGTTCCTGGGGCCTCTGCTGAGCCGTTGTGGTATTTGGGGTGTTTTTCCTGTTTTTTGCACTGGTATTTGTAAACGCTGTGTGTACCATAACCTGCAAGTGGGGAGGTGGGTCTTCAGTGAGCCTGGAGACCGACAAATACTGCTGGGAAGGTCGGAGCTGGATGCGCATCTCGGGCCGTGGGCAGCGCCGGCAATGGGGCGAGCTGCCGATGGGAGGAAGGAGCATCCACAGCCATCCCCCGTGGCAGGGCATCCCCCTGCGCCCTGGCTGTCGGCGTGCGCGGGGTTCTGCTTCCGACATCCTCCTCACCCTGAAGGCCTTGACCATCCTATAAACACACATGGTGCTATTATGTTACTTGTTTGCTCGATTAATCGCATACAGGCAAGACTGAAATGCTGTTCCTTTTCTGTTGTGCCCAGCTCCATCCTTCAAATAGTCCTGATAAATCGATATCCGCAGCCCCTTGTACTCCCGGTGCAGGGCTGTGGAGAGCCCTGTTTAAAAGACGTTTCAAAACGTGCTTTTGAGAGTGGCTAGGTACAATTCCTCTTCAAAAATTGGTATTTGCAGCTGTCTCCTGCCAGCCTGGTCCACGCTCCCCGCCAGGGCTGGCTCACCCTGTGGTGGGATGAGGCACCTCGTCTTGCCATCGATTCCCGTCAGCGGTGAGGTTGCCTCTGCTGGAGTAGTTTATACAGAGCAGAAGGCCGTAGCCAAGGCTAAAGGCCTTGAATACCTGCCCGAACCCCTGGCCACCTTGCTTGTCTGGGCTTTATGGAGATCTCTTGCTTGCAAACCTGGCCTGTGCCTGCAAGTAAATAGCAGAACAGCAATCTTCCCAGGGCTGTCCCTCGTGCTTTGAATTAATAAAACCTTGTTGTCTCCCGTCAGGCAGTGGCATGAGAAGCCCTTCGTTAGATGGAGGTTGTGGCCCCTGTGTCCCGCGTGGGCTGGGCGGTGGGTGCGCCCACGCGGGTTCGGCTGCTCACCCCTGGTCCCCCCGACGTTGCCCGTTGCTGGCCTTCCCGTGGCTTTGCAAGCATGATGCCCCGTGGTTGCTCCCCTCCCTCCCGAGAGCCCCCTGTCCCGTGGGGAAGAGGGGCTGTGGTGTTTGCATTGGTTTCCTCATCTGCGTGCCATGTTTCAGGTATTAGCACTTTATGATGATGTTCATGTCCCGGTGGTGGCCTGGGCCCGGCATCGCATTCCCCAGGAAGGCTCGGGCATGGCAGAGAAGAGGAGATTGCTCGGTTGGACACCACAGCCACGGTGCCCTCTGCCCCCGTTCCCCGCTCCCCCTTTCGGTTCCTCCATCACCGCCTGTGTGCCGGTGGTGTGTGTAGGGTGTTGGATGGGTGTACAGCACACGTTTGTCGCTTTGCTGAGCCAGGACTCGTCCCCGCACCGTCTGTCCCCAAGCCACTTTGCGACTCTGTCACTCTGCGATAGCACAACGTACCAGAGTGTTTCTTCCAGACACGTGCCCGGCCCCATCCAGCTGTTTGTTGTTGTAGCCATTTTCTCTTCGAGTATGCAATATCCCATACCATTGCTGCCACAACTAGATAATGTGCCATAATTGATACTGTGGAGCATTAACAGTGCAGCCGAAAGTGTTTTTATATGCAATATTCTGAGCAGTGGAAGCTCACTGGGGCTTCTCATAGGGTTTTTAATGAAGACTTTTATTAAAGGCTTTAAAAAAAAAAAAAAAAGGGGAAGAAAAACTTGGTCCTTGTATCCCTTCCTATGCATTTTGAATGATATGAAGATGAAATGCATTACTTAAATGTGTATTTTTATCCATATATTAGAGTGTATTCCTTGTAAAGTATTTTTATATGCTAATTTTCTTATGTATCTATGAAAGCACAATATTTAAAAGTACAGCATTTCAAAGAATATTTTAGTCCTGTTTTGGACCTATTTGTAAATCTCTGTATTTAAATGGGATTGCAATGACTTTGACTTTTTTTTTTAAATTAAATAAAAGCAAATGAAATGCATTTGTTTTGGTTCGTGTCTCTTTCTGCTGGAGGACGATAGGGAGGCAGAGGAACCCCCGTTAGGAGACACCTGGAAGGACAAGGCAGGAGGGCACACAAGGGGTTTTGCTGCAGGGCTGCTGTTTGTAGGGCTGCTGTAGGGCTGGGGTTGTCCCTTGCCGCTGTCTGGCAGCAGGACTTGGGTCGCTTCTCACCCTGTCAAATAGAGGCACTTTTGCTGTAGCACTTAGTGATAAGAGCTGGAGCTGCCCCTGCCTGTGGTTACAGCATCGCTTGCAGCTTCATTTGGCCACGCTGGAAATCCTCTTGGGTTAAACCTGGGCTACTTCATGCCAGAACACTGATGCAGCAAAGCACGGGGCAGCCGTGATGTGGCCGTGGCAGTGTTTGCAAAGCTGTGGTTAATCCCTGGGGATGGCTTAGGAAACCGCTGGAGGATGATGAGGCAGGAGGTGTCCTGTCTGGTGCTCAACACCCTGCAGCTCTAGTGGGGTGCCTTGGGGAGCTACACTGTGGTAGGCAAATTATCCCACCTCTGAAACCAAACATCCAGAGAGATGACTGCTGCAAACCCAGAATGTAGTTCCTTGTCTCCCTACATTGAGGATTTCTTCCCTTTTCTCTTACAAAGGCCTTTAGGGCACCCCTACACTCCCAGGGTGGGCAGCGCAGGTTGGGATGCTCCTGGGATGAGGCCATAGGGAATCTGCTCACTGGCAAGGAAAGGGTGAGCCGGGTTTTGCAACCCTCCATGGCCAAGTGGGTAATGCAGGAATTTTCGGAGACTGAGCATGGTATGGAAATGTTCCTGGTTAGACCTGGGGAATCATAGCCACGTAAACAAACCTTATCTGCCATCTCTGGCTGCCCTCCTGGGGTGCAGACTTCAGAACAAGGCCCTTCACACGTTTGGCACTGGGGACTTGCCAAAGCCGCGTGGAGCCAGCCGAGGTGCTGGGGCGATGGCAGGTTGAATGAGCGCCCGTGCAACGTGACCGGTAGGGTTTTGGTGCGTATACCAGGGAAAAGGTTAGCACGGTGCTGCTCCCCTGGTATGCGCTGCCGGGTGCCTCGATGGGCAGCGTGTCCTCTTGCTAATGTCACCTTGCGTCCCACGGACCTTGGCTGAGGGATGGCTGAAGCCACAGGCAGGTACATGAAGCCCCTTGGCAGCAGCTCATGGCGCTTAGTGGCTTTTAAAATTATTTATTTTATTTTAACCTGAGACACGCTGCAGTTGCTGTCTGTGCTGGTATCAGGCTGCTCAGTGCAGGCATTGCAGGTTTTGCTGATGGGAGGAGAAATACCTGCCAATGTCCTCAAATGTCACCCAGCAACAACCAACAAAGACAGAAAAAAAAAAAAATCAAACCAAAGCCAAAACCCCAAATAAAGACAGCTGTGGGCTAATCCTGGGCATGGGGCGCTGGAGACTCAGCAGTGATCAGGGCCTGATGCACAAATGCTGAGCAGCTTTATATTTCACAAATAGCAGCCACCTACATGCTGGGTTTTTTTCTTTCCGTACCTCAAATCAAGACTCAAGGAAAGGCCTCTCTGGTTTAACCTTCATCTGGTTGACTGAACAGGCCATCAGCGAGCTTTAAACGACCAGTCCCAATATAGCAGGAAAATAAATGTGGTTTTGTTTTTTTTTTCTTCTTTCTTTTTCTTCCCATTGGGCTTTTCTGATGTATTTGAACCCCCACAGTAGTGTTGCCGTGCAGCCAAGATGGTGCAGACAGCAGCGGGCAATGCTCTGGGATGGGCTGAGTTGGGGTGGCTCAGCCCAAGGGCAAAGCTCCCCAGCAGTAACCCCTAAAGCTGCGCTCATCTCCCCGTGCCCCTGTGGAGGAGCCAGGGAAAGCTGGTGTCTGCAGGGAGAAAGAAAAGAAAAAAGAGGGAAAAAAGAGAGGGGGAGCTATTTCTCATGGCCATGTAAGACTCAGCACATGCCCAACTGTGTTTGATGGAGCATCAAGCTGGGGAAAACAAAGCACCAGTGAAGTAAGGCTGGGTAAGGCAACCACTGTGGGGTGGGACCACACTGTCCCTTCTTCACAGTCAGCCAAAGTCATTGTTGAAGGGGGGGGAGAAGAAAAAAAAAAAAAAAAAGAGCAAGCCTAACATGCCAACCCGCTGTTGATGACCCAGCGATGTGTTAGCTCCTGCTGGGCTCACACAGCATCAAAGGCTTTGCTGCCGCTCACACTGCCCCGCCAACGATTAGGCTGGCACTGCACAAGAAACTGGGAGGGGACACAACTGGGACAGCCGACCCCAACAGACCAAAGGGCCGTCCCACTCTACACAATGGCGCGTGCGGACATACAGCCGGGGAGGGTGGAGGTGGGCAGGGGGGGCCATTGCTCAGGACTGGTGGGGCATCAGGTGGTGGTGAGAAATTGTTTTCTTTTGCATCTTTTTTTTCCTCTTTGTTGTGGTGGTTTATTTTTCTTTCCTCTTTTTTTTTTTTTTTAATTATTAAACTGTCTGTAGCCCAATCCATGAATTTTTGCACTTTTACCCTTCCGGTTCTCTCCCTACCTCACTGGCTGAGGGGGTGAGCGAGAGCTGCCACAGGGGGGGCTGAGCTGCCAACCAGGGTGACACCATGACAGACATGAAGGTCAGACAGTGAGCTGGGCCAAGCAGCTTAGTGAGTCGGCCATATATATAAATGGAATATTTTATAAGGACAAAAAAAATCCCTGCACCGACAACCCCAGAATAAATAATAGGTTTAAAGGAAGACTTCAGCTACTCAAAGACCAAAAAAGGATCCACAAGCATAGCTGGTTTATAAAGGAAAGTTTTATTTTCAGTTATAAGGTGATTACAAACTCATCTAAAAAAGCAAAGATGACTTAAAAATATCCATATACATTTTATTTATCTAAAAAGCAAAACAAAAACTGCAAAATACAAACATTTACCATATACACAAAGGCTAGGGTTTTTAGGATTAA